ATGCTACAAAATACTTTAGATGGAAGCCAAGAGAAAAGGACCTTTTTGACACCCTTTGGAACACCAAAATTTACATTTATTACAGGCATTGACCGCAATAACACAGAGTCCTTTTTATTACCTTCCACTAATAATATATTCTCTGTTTTGCTTAAGGTGAACAATGATATTCAGACAGGAAGAATTACTAACAAGGAAAAGAAAAAGCTTTAAATTATAAAAATGACTTGATAGTTTCTCTCTGTAATACATTTTAAGTCCAGAAGGGACCATTAAGATCACCTATATGCCAAGGATTTTTACACTGTGCTTTTTGAAATATGGGATCTCAAGTATCATACCATTTCTTTTAACCCTTGCTCTTGAGCACTATCTCTGATGGATTTTTACAAACTGCATATTGAAATATTCACATGCTTAGGGGTCTGCTCACAAACTGAAAGATATTAGAGAAGATAATTTCTTTTCAGAAGAGCAGTCTTTTTTTATTTTTAGAATAAAAGTTCTGCTCTGTTTCTGTAACAGGTGAAACCAGAATAAAGAAAAGTTTATCAGGCAGCTGTATCTTTGATTTGAAAAGATTGGTGGCAATTTTAATGAGTTCCAATTCTATGTCTGGGATAAAACTGAATATTTCTGGGCATTCAGCAGGAGTTACAGCAGTTATGCCATTTACAGGCTCTCCATTACTCTACCCAGTGCCATTCAGCAGCTGATAGACACCATCATGAGAAGAAATGCCAACGTCAACAGCTGATCTCTACAGATCACTATCACAAATTAAGACATACCACAAATTAGGAGAGCACTGATCTTGTCAAGAATCAGATTAAATTCTGGGTATGTTGAATAGAAAAACCGAATAAAGAGAAAGGAAATCAATCCGTTCCTGGATTTGTTCAATGGTCTGGGTGACCTGGGGAGTCCCTGTGGCAGTGAATGAGTTGTCCCCTCCTGCAGATAAAGGATTAAAACTCTCTTGTTTCTGTGTGGTCACGTCAGGAGGGCTGAGGTGATCCATAAGGAATGAGAGTGGCAGGGACCAAGGAGTCCTTGTGCTGCTGTCGTGGTTGAACCCAGCCCCACGCAGCCACACACTCGCTCTCCTGGGTGGGAGGAAGAGAGAATCAGAAGAGCAAAAGTGAGAAAACTTGTGGGCTGAGATGAAGACAGTTTAATAAGAGAAGGAAAAGCCATGCACACAAGCAAAGCCAAACAAGGAATTCATTGCCCACTTCCCATGGGCGGGCAGGTGTTCAGCCATCCCCGGGAAAGCTGTAACAGTGACTTTCCATCACACACAGCAGTGATTCGGGAAGACAAAAGCCATCGCTCTGAACACTCCCACTTCCTTCTTCTTCCTCAGTTTTAAGCTGAGTATGACATCATAGAATCTGGAATATCCCTTGGGTCACTGGTGTCAGCTGTCCTGACAAAATCCTTGTGCACCCCCTGCCCCCTCGCTGGGGTCGAGGTGTGGAGCAGAAAAGGCCTTGGCTCTGTGTGAGCCCTGCTCAGCCATAACCAAAACATCCCTGAGTTATCCACACTGCTCCCAGCACAAATCCAAAGCACAGCCACACAGCAGCTACTGTGAAAAAAATTAACCCTACCCCAACCAAAACCAGCACAGCTGCCTTGAAACACTTTCCCCCCAAAGTCTCATTTATAGCAGTGTAGCAGTAGCTTTACTTTTGAAATATATTTATCAACTGCTATTGTTAAATGTATCCAAAGAGCTTTTATTTTTCAAAGGGACGATAACATCAGCTTTTACACATCAACAAACAAGCAGAGAAAAAGCTTTTTTTTTGTTAAAATGTGGAATGTCACTTTTTGTGGGGGTAATAGCTGGAGGTGCATAAAACCAAATTCTGCCATTTAATTAGTAATCAGCAGTGATCTGTTAGTCAGTTACTGTAATTCATGAACTGTTAAGTCAAAGCAAAAATGGCAAGTAATTAGACTGTAACCATTAGACCTTCCCTAGCACACATACAGCCAGGGTTTCAATTGGAGGCAGAAGTGGAAGTGTGAAACTCCTTAATATATTCCACTTTTTAATTAGCAATCAGTGCTGATTTGTCAGCCATACCAACTCTAATGCATGAGCCATTGAAACACAGAAAAAAGGCACACTTTCAAAACCATTTATGCTCATATTTACATTCCCTCCAGGCTGAAACATTTGAGAAAGCACTGAAATGCCATCAGAGAGCAGCAGAAAGTGTGTAGGAGCTCACAGTCCAACACAACCACTGCATCACTGATGGTTTGGGTGAAGACACAAGCTGAGTACTTACAAGAGGCAGTTGGCATGTCCAGACACTGACAAATAAACGTTAATAAGCATTACCTTTGTTAACTGTACACAACTCAAAAATCTTCAAGAGCTCAGGCAGTTTATATTCCACTGAACTCCATTTTAAAGAATCTATTAATAAACTGATAGCAAACTTACCAGGTTGTTGCATTTTGGATGGAGAAGGAAGTGAGAGAAATGTAAAAAATCCTCCTTTGCCTGATCTTCAGAGCTGCCAGAGAAACTTGAGCAGGAGCAGCAGAACATAACCTGTTTGTGGGCTTTGGAAGGTGCAAGATTTTACTTCCCCCAAGCCAGGATGGGCTCGACAGCACTCCTGAAGCTGAGCAGCAAAACTGGGCACTCCAGCATTAGGCCAAGACCCTGCCTTCTTCTTCAGCTCTTAAAGAAATTGAGGAGCTGGGGAAGAGGGGGAATGAGGTGTAGAGGTTTTCCTCTTTTTAGCCATGTAATATAAATACCAGAACTTTAATTCCTTAATTTCACTCATATAAAGTACATGTAGTAGGCCTCCCTACAGGGCATACAAATAAAAGGCTGCTTCATACATCTTTATAAGAACCTTTTGTTTATCAAAATACACAAACACATATATTTTTATGTATAATAACTTACTTCAAAAACAGAGGGTAGTCCTACAATAGTCAGGCTCTGTACTTGAAGTCAGTGTCAGTGGATGGATCAGCTGATAAAGGCACCAACGTAGCTTAAACTAATTACAGTTTGCAGGTAGGGTGGTAATTGCACTTCTAACTGCTTAAATTAAGTATACAAAGGCCTGGTTGTATTTGCGTAGAGGCTGACAGGATACTTTGTGCCAGCTGAAAATTCTGCCCTCAGTAGTGGTAATGTTCTTTACAAAAAATTGCTGTTGTTTGCCTAACATCTGACAGAGTGACATCTATTTCACTACATGTTTAATTAGTTTGTTTTCATGGTGTTCCCGTTTCCATTTCAGCTTTCCTTAGTGGTGGGAGCAGGCAGGTTTCTGGCTCTGTGCTTGAAACCAGTCCCAAGGCAAAAAACGTGGCACCAGTTTGCCTTCCCCCTTCCAATGTCAGCTGCGAGGAGCACTCAGCCAGCATTTTCAGCTTTCAACAGCTTTTGTGTTTTTAAAGTACATCCTAGCTGCCCCTCTTTGTCTCTGTGGCTGGCTTTCTGGGGCTGTAAACATCCATCTCCAAGAGGAGTTTGCAGCTCCTGCGTTTGCCACAGCAACTATTTCTCTGCAAAGCACACATCAAGCTGTCCCGTTGAATCTATGATAAATTTGCAAACAGGTGCTCTGGAGCAGCTGTGAGATCTCCACCTTTTCCTTTTGAACAAGAACCTATAAAAGATTAATCATGATAGGCCATTAATGCTTTAATAGTTCGTGAGTGTACATTTATGAGTTCTAGGCCTGTGAATGGCTCCAACCTCTATTCCAGACTTCCTTCTTGAATATCTCAGTGGGGCTCTTCTAATTTTTTTAAGCAAACAAGCTTTTGCTTCCTTAAACATCACCCCACAAAATTCCCACCCAAAAGACCCTTTCCTTTGAGAGCTGTCCTTCAACTACCACTTGAGAGCAATGGTTAAGAGGATTCTTGTAGCATTGCAAGCAGCTCAGTAAACTGTTTTTGTACAGCCCACAAGGAAAGGTTGTGTTTTAAACAAAGACCATCTTTAGACCTCCTCTTCAGAATTCCAGTTTTTCTGAATGAAAAAAATTCTGTATGCTGAACATGTGTTGGCTGACTCTGTAGCAGGGAGATGTTAGAATGTCCTTTTAAGAGAGTTCTTTTCCTTAAAAGAGTTACAGAACAGATCGAGTAGTTTTACAATTCAGAAATCTCAACGTAAAGACTTAGGAAATTATACTGAATTCTATTTAACTGTCCAAATTGAAGTTTAAAAAATTATTCAGGAGATGTGAATTGTCTGTATCATGACTGAAGCTAGATGTTGTACAAAACAAGATGCTTACTGCTGCTCAGTAAGTCACATGCCATGAGGTGAGATGGTAAAACTAATATTGCTTAAAATTCTGGTTTGGGGAAGCAGGATCACTCACATTTCAAAGAACACCAGCCAAAATACCCTCCAAAATTTTGTACTTATTCCAATGCTACAAGTATATATAATATTGGAAATGGAAAAGGTGGGGCAAACTTCTCATTTGTAAAAATGCTTTATTTTGGCTTGTTTCTGTTACTCTGGCTCACCTTTTTAACTCAGAAAGCTCATTTCCACCTCCCAGCCTGTTCTGTCATCTTACTCAAGATTTTGCTGCTGCGTGACAGCTGTAAAACACTCTCCCATTCCCCTCCCACTCTGTCATGAGAAATACTGAGCAGACCCTTCTAAACCCTAACATTTGCTAACAGTACACCTATTTTTTTAAATTAGAAGAAGCTCATGCTGGAATTTGACATTACAGGTTAAGATAATGCATTCACAATGTAGGAGTGGATAAAGTCACACCAGAAGCTGGTATAGCCTTCCTCCTCCTCCAAGAGTTAGCAAGACTGGGCAGAACTGGTTCCTCCATTACAATGTACAACAACTGAAGAGCAGGAGGACTCAGCACTGTAACTGAGGCTGATAGTGCTGTAAGTTTGCACAGAAGGCACCAGGTTGAAGATGCCCTTCCAATAATAACAAAAACACACCACCACAAACAGAAACCAGGAACTGTCGTTGGATTTTTAGTATTTATTGAATAGTTTATTTTCTAGAGCCACTTCATGATAGAAGTGTCAGTGCATATTCAGTTCAGGTGCTTATTCTGAATGGACAAGGACAAAAAAAAAAGCCACACAAACCACGGACTGGACATGTAGATCCAGGGGAGATTCATGAATATATTAAGAAAAAACAAAAAAAGATTCAGGCCTATCAAGTGGTATACTTTATTAGGAATAACTACATAGATAATCAAAGTACAGTCGTAGGCTGGAGCCCAACAATGCTTTTTTTTTTTCCCATATAAAAAAGTAAACTTTCATAAAAGCTTGTTTAGCAAAGCAGTGTTATTTTAAACAGTTTATTTACATTGCTCAGATTGGCAAAAAAGATATAAAAAACAGTGCAGTCTGACACATTCAAAAGCATCACTAGTTACGTATAGATACAAGACAAAACACAGGTGGTTAAAAAGAAACCAGAAGTTGTGAACTCCTGCTAATACCAACAGTTGAACTGTTAATGAAATGCAGAAATTCACATATTTAGATAGTTTGTGAGAGTGCATTGCAGGGTACAAACTGTTCAGAGATGACAGAAGTGAAGACAGAGTTTTAAAGGAAGACATAAATACATAAGAAAGCCTAAAAGCCTTAGGAGTTGTACACTGAAATTTTACACACCAAAATTGGACCCTGAAGTTACAGTGTCCTGTATATATTGGTGTATTATTACACCAATAGTCCCATGCATTAAATAATGATTTGTTAACCAAGTATGGGGAATGTGTGGGGGTTTGGTTTTTTAACAGCCCTGCTAAACAGGAGTGTAATTCTTTTCCTCAGACTTCCACTTCAAAGCAAGACAAAGAATTCCATCGATCATTTTTGGTGGTCAAAGCTCCTCATACCACTATGTTACAGTGAGGCTGCAGACCATAATCATAAAACTCAATTCTATTTAATTATAAACAACTACATTTAAAAAATATCTGGAATAAGCAGCTGTACAACAGATTAACTGTCATACTTGAAAGGTCAGGTACTTCATAATGTATCTCCATTTGAGAAATCCACAATTCAAACATTAGAGTGCTCTGCCAGTAGATGAAGTTAGGCAAGCATAAGAGTCATCCAAACTAGCAGTAAATTATGTGATCATCATCTTCATTTCAAGATCTGACAAACCAGTTTAGTGCCTGGAGGGGACAATTTCCATAGAAGAAAATGTTTCAGTTATGCTGGTAAGGAAATAAATCTGTGCAAGGGAACACTGTGTTTAAATGAAGGCCAAGTTACTTATTCCACTGATTGGCTGGTCTGCTTCAACACAACTAAACCCCCCTTGTGATTACTAGTGTTATCTAACATTTTGCTAATCATTGCTAAGTGCTAATGACTAAGGTACCATTAATGTCAGTAACAGGGCACTGCCCAGCCGCCTGCTTTGTCAGTCACTCCCGCAGACCAGAGTCTTTCCCACCTGCCTCATATCAAGTGAGTTGTTGATCGGCTTAATGTGTGACTCCTCCTTTCAAAGATCGAGGGAAGGCTGACCAAGGAAGGAGAAGGAACACCCTGGTGAAGAAAAAAAAAAAAAACCAACAAGTTACTGGTCATTTATGAGCCAATCTTGATCGTGCAGCAGTCATTTCTCAAACTTGATATATCCTAAAAGGACTATGTGAGTGCAGAAGATCTCGAAGATTGGCAGCTTTTGAAATTAATGATTCAGCATTTCTGGAGTTTGAACAGGAAACGTAACACATTTTAAACATTGCAGAAAAAAAATATTTTCCTTGTTAGTAGCCTTGAGAGATGTGGAATGCAAGAATATGTTTTTAAAAAGAGTAGCTTTTAAGAAGTATTAGTATACATCTTGCATCACTTTTTGCAGTAATAATCTTCCTCCAAAATAAAGGCAAGATACAGTGTGATAATCTCTTAGAGAAACACAGCTCCCCCTCCCATCCTACAACTTTCTGTATTATCATCAGCTCTGAGCCCCAAATGAGATGCTGAACACATGTCTCCTTGGCTGCAGGAGGCAACAGACATCCCAATGATTTGTCAGAGCTTGCTTTAGCTGTGCCTGGATGGGCACACACTAAGCAAGAAGCTGACTTTTCTGATGCTTGGAGAATAAGCTGCTTCTGAGATTTAATTACAGTGAAACCAACACATCAATATGTAGCACTAAAAGTAAACCTCTTTGGATTAGCTGAGATTTTATATTCTTTTCACATTTGACCTCAAGATACTTTCACAAGCAATCCTCTGCTGCTCTTAACAGGCAGCCAAGCTTCTCAGCACATCAACAGGTCACGGTAGTTAGGCAGCTTGTGCACCTGCATACTTCAAGAATCCTTTAAATAGGGATATTTTGGGCGGGTAAGGATATACACACTTCACTATGAACAAGCCCTGTGCCTGTTTATGGCATGTCCCCCATTTGTAGTCATTGGCAATATCTGAAAATTTAACCCTAAACTCCTCTTTACAGAGGAGCTCTTATTAGACTCAAGTATTTTATACTAGATATTTTTTTTACTTACAGATAGAGAACAAAAAACTAAAACCACAGGTAAAATGAGCTGCTCAAGACTTCCTTGCAGCCAAGTTATTAAAGTCCTCAGAACTGTGGCCAGGGAGCTACATGGCCATTTGGATAACTGAACTGAAACAGTAAGGAATTTAACTGTATATCAACTAAGAAAGAAAAAAATCCAAAAAATTGCATTTAAAAGTTTGTGAAAAAAATCAGTTTGCACCCAGAACCACATAGGAGTGCTGACTCCAACCCTGTGCATTAGAGGATGTTAAAGAAGAACCCAACACCATTTGAAGCCCTTTGTGCATTAGAGCTGTACCATGCTCTCTCAGCTCAGAGAACTCAGGATTTCTTGCTCACTTCAGTCAGGATCTGATGCACAGCATTTCCCAGCACCACGCTGGTTATCATCTCCAGCATCAGCACAAGTGTCAGCAATAACAGGGAAAGCACATGGTCTGTCCAAGGTATGACCATTTAAGCTTTCCAAGTTGGAAGAGGCTTTTGCTTCTACAGCATTTGAAAGACGAGTACTTGGAGAGCCAGGACACTGCACAGGCCCAGGCTTGGAATTTTGAGAGCTCCAATCAACAGAACTGGAGCAATGGACATGAACAGCACATTTGGCAGATCCACTAAGGCTGCACGAGGAAGAGGAACGAGCAATCTACAATTAGGAAGGATTTAAGAGTTAGCTCAAACAAGAAAAAAAGACCAAGCATCCAAGCTTTATTGCTATTTTTACTCTGTGGTCTTTTTTCTGCACCAAAAAATTCCTACACAAGCATGGGCCAGGATTTAATTTAAATAAAACAATATGTCTGAATAAGAGCTTTGACTCTTAATACACTCAGACAGGTTCCCTGCAGTTTTAGTTTCCTATCAACAACTTGAGGGGCTGGAGTCCAAACCTCTTTTCCCCTCAACGTTATCATTGAACCAAAAAGGCTTTATGCAAGTTTAGTGGTGTGTGGCATTGGTTAAAAAAAACAAAACAGCACATGATCTGCTGCCAAGCTGCAGCTTATTACCACAGAGCTGCAAGAGCTCTGGGAAGAATCTGAAATAGGAACATGGTTGTGCAAGTTTTTAAGATTTTTGTGGAAAGCAAGTGTTTTTGTCTGGGGTAGATATGCACAAAAAGAAAAGTACATGAGTTGCAAGTTCGTGAGAGATGAGACGCAGTGCTGTATCGAAATGAAGACCATTAGAATGTAAAAACAATTGTTGCCATAATAATAATAGAAGAGGAAAATCTCTACAGAAAACTAGGCTATAGCCCCATTGGCAGATTTTTTCCTCTAAAGCAAGGGAGTCTGCTGTGATACTTCCTCCCTTACTGCTTTATATTTTCTCATGTGGGAGAGCAGGGCTATATCTCTATGTGTACAATTTAATGGCCACTCAAACATACTGAATTACCTCAATATTAAAGTACTGACACAGTCAGTAACAGAAAGATGAACAGCATTCCCTTTTCTTGGCCTTCTGTCCCACATACTGCAGACTAGAAAGCAGGTATTTACTCATCAAATTTACTCAAATGCTATAATAAAGAGCAAAGATGATGAAAAGATTCCTCCAAATCTAGTCTACTTTACTAGACTGTATTAGGAAATTGAGTTTGGCCTAATGTAGCAGAAGAAAGCTGTAACAGGCAGCCAGGCATAGCAGAAGAGCTGCAATATGTAGAACAATATTTTACTTTATCAAGTTTTCTTAAACATCTACAAGGAGATAATTCCCTTGTTGTTTTAAAAACTTGCAGGCTGCAGCATCTATGTTTTTTTTTCTTCCTTCCCAGTTTGTTTAACAGGGTGCCTATAATCTCACTACTTTGACTGAAACATTCACCATACTATTTAGGGTTGTATACCACATTTCTATTTAGTGTTCAAAAACAAAAGCATGAACCAATATAACTTGTGTTGAAACTTTCTCACTCTCTCAGAAGAGGAAGCATATTCCATCCTAAGCAAAAGAGATTGGTGGGGTTTTTTAATTTAAATGTATAAGGCAACTCCCAGTTTCTAGTGCATCAAAATTTTTTTGCACTTTCAGCAAGTAAGGCTGCCCATTAAACAGCTCTTGAAAACAATATCCCTATAAATGTAGTTAAAAATAATTTTTCCCCACTGTGCATGTTGGAATTGTTGAAGTGAGAGCAGCAGCAGACATGAAAGGAGTGTGATGTGGAGGAGGTGCTTTCCTTGGCCCGCCCTGCACATCAGAGCACTCACCGCTAGGGACGAGGTGCTGGTCAGGCGGCTGCCGATGTAACTCTCGTTAGCAGAGCTGGGGCTCCGCCCTTCTGTGGCGCTGTGAGACATCAGAGCCCTGCGGAGAGCTCGCTTGGGTGTTTTGGAGAAAGAAAAGGCTCTTGTGACCTGAGGAGATTGACAAAAACCAGGCTGTAATAACTACTGTTATGCAGGCTACCATTCTGAACATCTCTACGATGTGTATCAAGTGTTGGTGGCTGGATCACAACCAGCCAAAAATCCACACCTAAAATGATGTGACTTTTAAGGGCTGCCCATCATCCTTGCTCTTCTCCTTCTGTCCAAATATGAGGGCAACACAGGAGGGAGAGAGGAGGGCAGAGATTCAGGGAGAAATCAAAGCAAAGTCTGGTCACCACGGCTTCTCCACATCCCTCAGTCCTGCAGTCAGGCCCCCCCCTCCTTTAATTTACTCTCAATTCTGTATTATATTTAAAAGACTCAAAGCATTAAACAGCATAATTTCCATAACAGACTCCAAAATGCCTACATAATAGTTATGGCTGTAATACTTAAGACTATATATACAGATATTCCAAAACCTTTAACATCCCTCACCTTCTTTCTTTAAGGAGATTATATTTAAGAGTTTTAGTTCAGATTAAGTTTCTCCTGTCACTACCGTAAATACTACAAGCCACCTGAAAGAGGAATCCCAGCACAATTCTCTGAATAAAAAGCACTCTTTATAATATCTTACCTTTTTTGATGTTTTCTTTATTGCCCTGGATGCTCTGCTTAAAGTACTGTCCATATCTTTAGTATTTACTTCAACTGAATCAGGATCAGCAACATAAATGAGATTTTCCTGTAGACAAAAACAGTCTAAATAACAGCCAAATATCAGCACTTGCCAAAACATAGTTTTCTAGTCCATTAGATCAGATTTAGAGGGTTTGGTTGCCATATTCTCCCATATTTAACTCTTTATATAGTCCAGCAGCTATTTGTTTTCAAACCATTTCATTAGATCTACAGCTGGTGCAATCAGTTTGTGAAACCATTTTATCAGTAGTTTTACATTCAGTTTGTCTGATTCAGTTTCAAGTCCAGGGTTGACCAAATTAAAGGCAGTAGTTCTGAGGCATCCTTAGGGAGTTTCCAAGATAAACATTGCTTTATTCCACTGACACATGTAGCACATTTCTGAAGTGAAATCGTGAGAGCTCCAGCTGTCAAACATTAAGACTAAAGACTTTCAGCTGAAGTGCAATACATGTTGCAGAATAACCACGAGTTTGGGGGTCTTTTCATGCCTCATTCTTAAACTCCAGCATGTGCAAAGCAATCTCTGGCTACCTACTCACAAAACCTGGGGGGCAGAGGGGCACATAGGGGAGTGGGAAATTGCTGGGATGATTTTTTTTGCTGTTTGTTGTCTGCATTTTGAGAAAATACATTTTACACTTAAAAAAAAAAAAAAAAATCTCAGAAGGACCACAGTCAGGAGCTTCATGGCCATTCTCAAGCCAAGGAAGAGTAGCCAAAGCCTTTGCTGCCACCAGGTGGCAAAGTCAATGTCATCTCATTCACATAATGCTCTAGAAATCTCAAACCAGGCAAAAGTGCTTAAATTGAAGCTCAATTTGTCATTTAAATCAGCAAGAAAGAAGTATTATATAGTTGGTACAAAGCAATAGGCACAGAAATTACAACTAATGGGTTCAGCAAAGTAGGTTACAATTTGTCAGAGTATGATTCTGAATGTCTTGGGGCAAGAGGGAACGATACATTTATTACACAAAGGTTTAATTTCTATTAAAAATCCAAGGTATATGTGACACAAAATACTGAAGATATGCAACATGCAGACTAAAGTAAATTAACACTTCCACATCAGCACTTTCCCTACTCAGTACCTATAAGGGAAGGGAAACTACAAAGCCCAAGTCTCTTATTCCTAAGTCCTTAGATCACAAGATACACAAAAAGAAACTAAGGTGCTGTTTTCATTACTTAATTACCAACCCTGTAACAAACATGCCTTTAAAAATCACAACCAAATATTGTACTGTAAGAATACACTGCAGAATATACCCCACATAGCTTCAGCTATCTGTACTGCATGTATTTTCAGCAAATTGAGATGACTGATATGCATAGACTTTTACATAATTAAAACATTAGCTGAAAGCCTCTTGCAGTAATTGGAGAGGATTTACTCCTCAAATTAGTGGTTTTCTCACTATAGAAAGCACACATGCTGAATTTCTAGAAATGTGACAAGACCAGTGCCTCCTTTATTTCACTGTTTTTCTTATTTCTTTGTTTTAAGGTTGTAGATTTGTGTCTATAAGAGGAAGATGCTTCATGTCTCTTGCATTATGGTGCAGAAAAGGTGTAAAGCAAAAACCTCAACCTAACACAGATTTAATCCAACACGAATGATCAACAACACTGGGATTGTAAATTCAAAGACAGCTGTAAAAAATTTCTTCTAGACCTACAGTGCAGAGTTGAATCATACCATTTCACCATCACAAATTAATTACAAATAATTTTTGATTTTTAAGCACTACTTAGCTTCTGCACAAACTAACTTCCAGGCTGCTTCCTCTTCTACCTTTTAACCACTCCCTTGCAGACATGTTAGCACAAATGTTTTCTGCTCTACTTTACCTCAGGCATGTCCTCTATTAACTTCTTTAGCTTCAGGTACTTAAAGCCAAAAAGAGGGAAATGTTTCAATCAGCACCATGGTTCCAGAGTACTTACTGCATCTGCTTTACAAATGGTGTTGGCCACGTGTCGACACAAGGTCTTCAGCCAGTCCTCCTTGCGAGGCTCTTCAGTTGTCATCTGGAAACTGAGCAGCTTGTTGTTGAGTTCTGTAGGTGGCCTCACAACTAAGGCAAAAGCTTTCTGGCAATCTACAGTTTATTAAAAAAAAAAGGAATTGATAAAAATTATTTTTTCATATAATTCAGGGGGGAAACTTCAGAAGGGTCTGACAGAACCCTCTGTCTGCCAGGAGCTGGAGCTATAGACAACATGATTTGGGGCAATGATTTTGTCTTTATTGACACAATAGTTGTTGTCTCACTTGCAGGAGCAGAGTTCTGTCCACAGCCATCATCAAGAGGCTGCAATCAGCTGTTCAGGCAATAGCTGATTTTTCACCAAATAATCTGCAGAGCAGTCAGCCTCACCTACCCTCTTTGCCATTTCTCTTAATTGGGTTTCTATATTCCAGGTGCTTCAGAGAACATAAAGCAGAACACATGATGTGCACATCATCACTTAGAGTGGAACACCGAATCTTGCCAGGATAGAAATCTAGAAACTGGTGTGACTAGATTCCTTATAAGTCACTGTCAAGGCTGGAACAGTGTGGCAAAGCAGACAGAGAAATTAAGTCATCTTTTAAGATGCCAAGCACAGCTCCTCCTGAGCATTATCATCACACCAGTTAGAAGAAAATTTGGTTTCACACCAACAGCACTTTTCTCTGTCCAGTCTAATGCTCTGGGCTGAAGTCTGAGGTTTGGTTTTTATTTTGTACATCCAGAGCTGTCAAGTGTTTAATTCTGTTTATTTCACACTGCCAATTGGTTGGCTTATGCTAATGCCATCTAGTAGTTCTGCCAAATTCAGCATCCTGCAGAGATCCTTGAAAAGCCAAAAGGCATCAGTACAAGGAATTCTCAAACTCGTACAGAGATTCAAACAGAAGCTTTTACTAAGATCACATACCTAATATATCATACAATAAACACACCTTAGCATTCCATTCCACAACACCAGAGCTTCCCCTTCACACCCTGAAACAGTTTAATTAGCTGCCACAGCACTTCAAAACACACAGACCTTCTGTCTCCCTGATGTCTAAGACTTTCTTGATCTGGGAGAGAGGCATGAGAACGACATGCTTGAGAGATGCAGGAGGCCTTGTGTGGCCATGGGGACTCTTGAAAGCTCCAATAACTTTATGCCGTTTCCTTGCAATCTGCAGTTAAATAGAATAGGAAGAGTCAGTTTGAAGATCTCTTGCCATTGTTCCCTTTCCTTTCTCTATTTTTTACCTTCTACTATCCAGTAAGGTACAGAAAATCTTGCTACTCTACCACATAAATCTTCAAGGAATTCACTTATCTTACTATTCACTGCCTACAGCCTAAGTGGCCCAGCAATATTTGTTACTTGATATCAAAACACTCAGCTGAAAAATATAGTAATTTTTTTTTAAATACCTAGAGAGGAAGTAATTTTGCCTTACAGACCTCAATTCTACCCTGCATAACAAACAAGGGTCCTTTAAAATCTACCACAAGGTAGCCTAGATTTAAACAAAAAAGACAACATTTATATGCATGAACCAACTTAAGGTGTGGTGTGTTACATCCTAGAAATATCACTTGCTGTTGCTTATGCATGCGGCCTTTGAGCAGGCTTTGCATAAAAACATGTAAGGTACTTGTGTGTTAAAGTAATGCATCGTGTTGTTTGTCTCTTGTCCAAGAGACAAGCCAAGAAGCTTTAGTAAAAGTGATAATAATGATAATTCCTTCCTTTACAAGAAGTGATGAAATTGAGTTGACTCCTGGGGAGAGTTCATCACTAGTCACAAGAACAGGCTTTTGTCTCTAAGTCTCTAAGTGCTGCTCAGGACAGCACTAGTTTTGAATTATTTTAGAGTTGGTCTTCTACAAAGACAATGTTCTTCACTGCTACAGACAGCAACAAATACGTTATGAAAATATCCTTTATAAATTCAGTTTTTCCACATTAGTCTCCAAAACTCAGATTATTCTTCTCCTCTAGTTCTTCCTAACATATTTTTAGTTTAAGGCATTTATTATGTTTTTATTTTTTTGGTAGCCTAAGACCAGACAGATCTACCAAGGCCCACTATTCACTCCCATTATATACAACTAAACTTTAAAAGGACAAACAATCTGATGAGCCAAGGACTCCAGCACTTCTTCATCCATTTGTGCTACTCAAAGTGCTATTCAGACAAACTTTTTTAACATATTAAGCTGCTTTTATGTTCTTACTCTGGCTGCAAGACATTAAAGGCTACATTAACATCTCCCACCTATGTAGACATGACTTACTAATAACTATGTTGGCTTATACAGTAGTTAATGGAAAGGAAACATCAGCATGTGTTGACCTATCAGCAATCTGTGACTTAGAATTCTGCCTCAAAAGTTCTCTAAATTTTACTTATTTATATTCGTGTGCAGTGTCAAGCCTCTTACAATTCAGTTCATGCAATGTACTGCTATAGTCATCTTACCTCCAGGCAATCATTGAACAGAAAGAGTGTGACCTGCTCTCCCCTGTCACAGAGGTCATCCCCCAGTGCTACAGTTTCCAGACGCTGAACCAAGCTGCGGTGGGAGGACAGGAGATTGGCCTAAATGACAAGCAAAAAGCTCATTAAGCATTTAGTTCAAGGGCTGGATTACTGCTTGCTTACAGCTTAACACTGGCAATCTCTTTAAACCAGCACCACTGCACTGTAGCCTCACACACTTCTGCAAAGGGAACAAAGTACTGCAGTCATTTAACAGATCTGCAGCTTTGGAGGAATTACTTACTGGACATCCATCCACTTCATAGACAACGTCAAAGAACTGCCTTTGGGCCTCTGTTTTTCTTTTGTCTTCATTAATGTGTCTAAGGAAAGCACATTATATTAATCATCAATACCAAGTAACAGTAAATGGATCCACTGCATTTAAGACATAAAAACAAAGCTAAACATACAGGGACAGAATTTCTACAGTAGCACTTGCCACATCTGCCTGAAAAAATAGCCAAATACCACATGAAATCACATAGGAAACTTCAGCTCTAGAACACTATTCTTGTCACGTTACCAGCACTTGACACTTCAATCAGTTAAAACAGAATTCCCCTCCCCTGCCTGGCAATATTTTGAACCAGAGACTTACACAACTCCTTTCTTTACAGCCTGCATTTTGTCTCCCCCAAATCAAGATTGCAGCTCACCAAGCAGCAGATGCAAGAATAATTACAATTTAAAAGTTGTTGTTAAAACTGGACAAACATTTATCCAATTAATGCAGGAGTTCTTGTAGCTGGAGACATACGCTACACTTCAAAAGAGGTGAGACTTACAATCTAAACAACTTCAGCTTTCAGCTAATTAACTCGTGGAACAGCGCCAAGAAGAGCTAATACAGGACCAGAAGAAAAACCAATCTCCCACCAAAAGTCTGTCCTTTCAGTAGATATAGGCACAGAAGTAAGATTTAAAAACAAAACCCATCTCTTCCATTCCAGAGGGAACAGACAGAAATAAGAGTTGGAACAGAACAGAGGACTGGGACAGTCCCTGCTGAGGCAGGGAGTCAGCAGAGACTCAGGTACAAGTGCTGGGGAACGTCACAGAATCCTTCAGAGCTCTGGCACAGAACACCAGTGACAACAACAGCCAAAAGGAGGCTGAAGAACACCTACAGTTATGTTTACTTACTGTTCCTTGTGGCAACATAACACTGACAATTTAGGAGGAGCAGAGGGATCTAAATGCAGTATGTTTAACAGTATGTTGCATAGAATCAACATGACTTACGTCATCACCTCCTTTAATGATTCAATAGCTCTCTCTAGAGTTATTTTATCTGGGTTCTCTTCTGATGTATGTTTCTTAATATCTACAATTAAAAAAAAAAAAATCCACACATATTACAAGTGCCTGAAAAGAAATATGAAAAACTCAAATTTAAACTGAGTTAAGATAAGCTGACTGAAGAAATCAGATCTACCCTGGAGTCCAAGTAGCACTGATTAAGTGGAGAACTAGGCTGAACAGAAGCTGTCCAGACATCTCATTAAGAAAAAAAACTACATACAATACAGAAACCAAACCCTTAAACTATTTAAAAAATTAAATTGAAGTGCACAGACAAGCACAGAAGTCTTTCTACCTGAAACAAAGGGCAATGTGGATTTTTTAACAAAATCATTATTACAGCAAGTGATTGATACCAGGTGGAACACATGAAACTGTGAGTCTTGTCAATATGAATTGCTCTCTAGTTTATGTTAGTTTCATTTGAATCTCAATTATATTCTTGTTTGAGGAGACAGAATTGTCAGTGCAAACTGTTCCTCTATCTGTATCCTGCATACAAATGTATGAACAAGTGGAATTTAGTCAGAATTTATGCATCCTTCAGTAGTGGGTCTCACTGACTGCTAGGAATCATGGTTAACTCACATAATCGGGCTTGTTTTAGATGAGAAAAGCTGTTGCTAATGATGGCAAAAATAGACACCATCTTGTGATTTTAACACCTTCACAGACAAACTAATAAAAATGACATCACCAGGTTACCATTTAGTAGTAGGGCAACACTGGGCAGCCTTTGAACAGGACGGATAAGGAGCTCAGCAAGGCTTTGGCGACCACATTCAGGTTTAGCTTGATTTATCTGAGGAAAAGGAAATAATGTTTACTTGGGTTTTTTTACACACATACACAAGAAAAGCACAAGATCAGAGAAAAATTGCCTTCCTTGAAATTAGCATTGCTATACAAGTGTGAGAATTGTTTATCACAGTCATTAACAGAGCATGTTAAAACCACATTATAGTCAAAACTACACAGTGATTTATGTTCTCAGAAAGTCAAGTCCATACCTTTTACAGGTCCATATCAACCCTTCAGCTCTTGTTCCAGCTGCTAAAGTGGAGTGGGACTGGGGATGGCCTAGTCTCTTATTTGTTCCCCATCTTTTAGGTATCAATACTTAGATGCAATTCCTAGTCCCTCAGAAAACACGAGCTGTCAGTGTGATTACTTGGCTATTTAGGCATAGGAGTTAAAGCTACACTGCACTATTAACAGTGCACACATATCTGAACAGATCAAGAGAGTCTGAAGCCTCATCTTCAGATAACTTTCTTTGAAGATCATCTTCCTGTTAGATCTCCACTGTTAGGCTCCTATTCATTAGTCACAAGAAGGCTGAGAAATTCTACCTCCCTGGAGCTTCACAGCTGCCCAAGGAAAATTAAAAGCTGTTTCAGAAATACAAGTCTCACAAACACAGGGAGGGGACCAGTCAAAGCAGTTATCTCTGCAGAAAGGAGACAACATGGATTTGGGAGGAACTTTTTCCAGCAACAAATGCATATAACCAAACCACCTTGAAAGCTGCTTAACAGAGGAGGAACTCACACTTTTTCTAAGTCTTATGAGGAGCTTGAGGGATTGAAATTCAAATCCTTCCTATTTCTGCCTCACCAGGAGATGTTTGCATTCTTTCAAGCTTTCAAAATTTCACATTCTTCCATCTACTGCATTCATTAGAATATGGTAACAGTCCCCGTGTTCTACTCATAGATTTAGTTCTGCAGACACTTACCTTTAGGAAGGCATGAAACCTTGGTTTCTGCTTTTCACATCTTGTAATCGTCTCCTTGCTCATTTCAAAGAAATTCACAAACGGAGGGTATGTTTTCAGCAAGTCTTTTGACTGAAAGAAACAACTGTTAGGGCTCTGCTTTATATATTATGTATCACTATACATATGTTCATATGCCCTGAGCCATACAAAGCTGCTCAAAGTCACATTGCAATAAAGAATAATAAAAAATGTGTTGTAAACCCATACGTGTTCTCAGAACAAGTTAAGACATTTTTGCATGCCAGATGCCCCAGATTGATGCTGCTGATTAAACGCAGGCTGCTCTCACCAGCATCAAGCAAACATGACAATCTTAGAAACTGCTGGGCACCTCAAGTGGGAGGCAGATTCCCACCTAGCCAGAGGCTTTTGGTGAGAATTTTGGAAATTTCAGACAGGTATTTTCATTAGTTACTGCAATCACCTTTTAAACCACCAGAAGCAATACCTTAGACTGAAAACTTTTGAATGACAAGCACTATTTGTCTCAATCATCAGATCAGCAAAATCACAAGATACCTAGCAGCCTACTTATATTAAAATACTTTGCAGAATTAGTTTTGCTGTTCTGCACAGGACTCCTTCACTTACAAGTTTCAGGTCTTGAAGAAAGAACGTAATTTTTTGTGAAAAATTCTTTTCCTAGTTCTTTACTATTGATCAGAGGCAGCACATGGCTAAGGGCCCAGGAAGTGGCTTTTAATGTCTGAGTAAAAAGCATGTCTGTACTGTTGAAAATGACAGTTCTCAAACTGTAGCTATTTGTAGTTTTAATCCTTTATACCTGTGAACAGACACACACTAAAACTTGACATGGATTGTATCACCTAACTCAACTGAAAAGTCTAAATAAAAGAGACAATTATACAAGTTAGAGTTCTTTCTCAGCAGTGCTTTGCTTGTGTTTGCTAGCTCCAAGAAGCAGATTGTTTGTAAGGCAAGATAATACTTGTAAGCAAAAAGAAAGAAACAGGAACTTACGTATTTGAGAATGATATCACCAATACTTTTGCTTTCAGTCCAATTTATCATAAGATCTTCCAGGTCTTCCTAGAATACATGCAGGGATAGAAGGAAAAAACAAGCTGAGCATAAAGTGCATAAAGCCATTAAATGGGATCAGTGTTTTGCCAAACACATCATTAGATGTGTTTTCGTGCTGACAAAAAAAACCGTACAATTTCACATTCAGCCCCACCAGTCTACTGAGGGCTGAAAACAAGAGATCTCTGGCTTACTGAATATGTAGTTATAGTTGTAAATCAATGCAAGTAGAGCCTGGCAGCATGTCAGGACTAGCCAACTCTGCAGCAAGATGACACTGCTGCATCCAACACAAACACAACACATCCCAAAGGAATATTGAAAAAGGATACACAGAAGACAGTTGAACCAATTCTAATTAAGACTGCAAAACTTATCTAGGACTTAAGTCTATAAGATAGGATTGAAATAGAACTGGGATAGATTCCACTTGCTTGCTATACCAGAGTGTCAAGGAAAGTGAGACCAAGCCTGTTAAGCCTATATGAGCTTGATAAGGATCAAGCTCAATCACCATCAGATAATAAGAGGGACAGGAGGGCACAGCTGAAGGTTCCGGATCCACTTTAGGTGAAAAGGATTTATCACTAATATTGGTTTGTTGCTGCCACTGCTCATATCTTTATAACACCAAAGATGAAAGAAAACACAACAACTACATCAAAGCAACTCTCACTGCACTGTGTGCTGCAGGTGACTCCAATTTGACACACGGACACACAGCTCTACTTTCATCTCTGTCTCAGTGGGCACACATCAATAGCTGGTGTGATTAACCAGACTGGACCCCATTGGTTGGAAAAAAACAACAAAAAATGTACAAACAAATCACCAAATTGCAGGTAGTCTGCAAGTCTCTCTATTTAGAAGCCTACAGGGAAATGCTACCAGGAATAGGCAGATGCCACTACCTGAAGGAGTATGTATCAGCACCAGGAAGAGTTTATACCTATCCAGCCCAGCAGATGCAACTGAAAACATACAGAAAAGATTCAAAGTCTCTATAAAAGCTTCTCCTGCAAGGGAGAAGGCGCAGCTTGCCTTGATTTTAGTGTGCACATCAAGAATATCGGGAATGCTGCCAAATATGGTCTTGATCTCTTCCTGTGCAAGGATTGGTCCCCCAAGTTGTCCTTCCTTCTCCAATGGAACTTGAAATAACTGATGAATTAAGAGAAAAAAAAGTTAATGCCCTCCCAACTGCCAACACTGTGTTAGAAACAGTTATGAAAGCAACAGTGTTTTCCTTCTAGATCATCATTTACTGCAGTCACAATCTTGAGATGTTTCCATTCAGCAAGAGTGGGTTTTGGAGAGTGGTTTGAAGACACAAACACTTAGTTGGATGCATCTCTATCTACAACATAATCCCCTCTAATCTCTTTCTACTCATACACATCTTGGCTCATTCTTTAAGTAGGTAATCAGCTGCAATAGAAATAAACTTTCAAGAAATTAAACTCTTCCTGTGAGATGTTTGATACTCTGCTCTTCTTGGAATAATTTCAAAAGAAAGATTTTTTTTCCTTCTGCTATCTCTCTCTATTCACTCATATCTAAAATATTAGTCATGAAGATCCTATTTTCCTGACACTTCCAATTTAATTTCCATATATATTGCAATACCATTGCAGATCCCAGATTGAAAATAATAATTGATGTAAACATCAGATATCTTATTACAATTGACCTGGACTGGCTTGAAAACCATCTTACCTGAATAATTGTTGTCAGAATATCAACGTAATTACTTTCTGTCTGATACAATTCCTTTGCAACCTGCCATCTTGCAGACTGCTTGAGAGGAAGAGGAGTTGAGTTTTTGGAAGGTCTTGCACAGGATTTTGGTGTTTCTGATAAAGAGATATTCCCAAAAGAAAATAGAGCTTTATTATAATAGAGACCCTAAAAAAATCTCACCCTCAAAGAAAAAAAAAAACAAAACAAAAACAAAAAACCAACTTCAGAATTTTTAACTGAAGTTTGAGTTTTTTTTAAAAAAGCCTGTATTGTAGTTACCAGGGCTCTTTCAAGAAAATAGCTCTCTATTACAGCCTACTTATAGAACAACAGTAGTATATTATTCCTCAAAATTAGACTGAAACTAATAACCCATTTATGGGCAGGTCAATGACCTGACCCTATTATTAGTACCTTATATAGCAGAAAGCAAGGATTAGGTGCTGAACATTATTTATTTATACACTAGTACAAAAGTGCTTTCCTACTTTGCCATGTAAACAATTATCTCTCAGCTGTCTACCAGCCTTGCATTAGGTGTGCAGCTCAAAACCATTGACTAAAACCAGCCCTTGCACACAACACTTTCATTTCATCCTATATGGGAAAAGGCTCAAGAAAGTAATTTCTCTTAAAGCTAAAGTCAAGGTGGACCTGGAACTGTTCATGAGTTTTAAATGCTTGCTCATGTATTGGATCTCAGAGGCCTATAACTGACTTTTTGATATCAAAGCTCATTACTGCCACAGTTAACAATGAAGTACCTTATCTGTTGTTTCCAAAATAGCACATTCTAAAACTGACTGCTGCTGTTGGATTAGAAGAAAATTCCCTACCAGGGCTAACAAGAGCACTAGCATCATCTAAGAAGGCTGATCTTCCCTGAATTCCTTCTGAATTATCACTTATAGGTTGTGCCTCATAGGGAGCTCTTATATGATTTGAATTTGCCTTTTTAAAGCAGTAGCAGCTCCAGATACCTCCCCATATGATGGAAATGGACCTTTTAAAAATACTTGGGGTATCAGCTTTTGACTAACCCAAAATTTTGCAGTTCCTCTCTTCACAAGAGCCATGTGCAAAGATATTTAAAACTGACCATTCACTCAAAACCAATTGATGATTTATATTCTTGTGAAGTTTAGACATGACAGCACAAACAGTGTTGCCTCAACAGAAAATGTCAAAGATCTAGGAGTGGGCCCTGCAGGAATTTTCCCTTTACCTCCTCTAGAAAAGAATCTTTGTCCTCTTACCTCCAAGTATCCTGTGGAGAGTATTTTAGTTATTTACTGTTGACTATGCTGCTAATCTGCTACAGACTTCCAGCAGAGAATTTGAAGCATTTTGGAGTAACACTCAACTGTACCTCCTATTTATCACCTCTGTATCTATTCCTTCAGATACAAAAATGCTTACTGTGATGACAAGAGGTAGCTTGGCCTGTGTCTGAACTCTTCACTCCAGTTTTTTTCCTCCACACTTTGAAAAGGCAAAAGCCTGGAATTACTTTGCAAATCTGTAGCAGAAGGTGTAAGATTTCCCTACCACCACCATTTCCACTCGCATGCAAGAGCTGTTAAACAGTAAGTGTGGCTGAATGGAAGGCTTGAGCTCTACCTCCATTGGCAGCGCTTGACTCCGGAGTGTTGGAAATATCCAGCAAGGAGCCAATAGAGAGGGAATGTTCAGCTGAGGGGCGTTTCCGAGGAGGGAATGGGGACATGTCTGTTTCCCTGGTCAGCTGGGCCAGAGTCTCTTTCAAGCGCCGCCGTTTGCGGTTGCTGTTGGGAGTGCTCAGGGAAAGCAGCGACACCGACTTCTTGAAGTCAGGACTCTCTGACTGCAGGGAAAGAAAACTTCATTCAGTGTGTTTGCCCTCCGTGGCCAGTTCAACTCCGTGCAGAGATTAGTTAATTACAAAGATCAACATACAACACAGAAGGAAATTTCTTAGGGAAGCCAAGGCAAAATGGAAGCTTTTTTCCTCCCCTTTTAAAAATACAAATTACAGTAGCGTTTTGTTTTACTAAAAGTAAAACCTTTGAAAAACAAAAAAAAGTCTCCATCCCAAACAAGTATTCTATGTATAAAATTTATAATCGATTATCTGAAACTTATATGCTGCTTTAAACTAGCTGATCTCTTGCCCCACACACTATATTGCATATTAATTTTACTACCAAAATATGCTGTGCATTGTGTGAGTGTTCAACATACCTTCTCAAATAAATACATGGACTCTCCAGCTCTGGCATCCATTTGAATGCTCCCCCAAAACCACTAAAGGAAAAAAAGAGAACACACATTACAAACACATTAGAGAGCTTCACCTAAAGCTAAAAATATTAAAAATAATCTATAATAGTAACACAGTTGGGATGGAAGATATTTTTTCAGAATAAGCCACATTGCAAGTATGTGGCACACACAGTTCTAAATAGCAGCATTCTCTAAAGAATTTTCATCACTAACCTCTTGCTTTACAACATAGAGTTTTTTTAAAGGTTCAAATGGAAGATCTTTTACTGTACTTTCTTCAACCACCAAGTGCGTACACCTTTCATCACCAACGGGTAAATAATGTCCTCCTAGATTAAAAAAAAAGGCAAATTAGAAAGAATATTCTTGTCAGAAATAAGTATCTCACTTAGCAGTTCTGTGGCACCTATCATTATAAACTCCAGCCCATTCTTCCCACAGGTTTTCATAAACAACCACCTTGCATTTCTGTCATTTCTTCCATGTTAGCTTTCTCATCATCAGAGAATCCCAGGAAACTTAACATGCAATCCTGAAAGGGAGGAACCTTGAACTGGTTTCTAAAGCCATCATCAGCTGCACAGAAATCACTGAAAGAAAGAAGATGCACAAAAGGGTCACTTAATAAGTGACTTATGTCAGTATTTAAGCAGAAGCTCACAACATTTCAGGTGAACGGATGCAAGGTAAAGGCTGAAGGGAAATAAAAACCTACCTTTCATTCCTCTTCTCCCATGCCTTATAAATCCACTCAGCTTTCACAATAGGAATACCAAGACTTACAGCAATCTACAAAACAGGAAAGCATAAGTTGAACCAAATATTTCCATTTAAATCTTTCCCATGTCAAGAAAAATTTGTAACCTTCCTTTTACTTTTCAAGACGGATACTGCAAAAAGAGAATATATTCCTTCAAGAGCCATATTCAACTGAAGCTCCCCAGAGTTAGAATGAATTCAGTGACTAGGAGATCAGATCAATAGCTATTTTGACATTTCCTTAAAAGTGCACCATTTTGTTAGTCTGATATCCTTCATCACTCACAAAAACACAAAATCAAATCTTTGTTCCAGTAGAATATGGGATCTTTTTTCTGCTTTTGATACTTTGTAAGAAATAAAACACCCTATCCTGTTTTTATCAAAGAGAAAGTGACTATCTGAAAGGCAACTGCCATGGCAGCTTGAGAGATTGTACAGTTTTCCTACATTTTCTCCTCTGAGTCAGCAGAAAGGAGTGTTTGAACAGAAAGATGGACTTCTCTTCCAACTGCAAGATTATAAAGATAAACATGGGGAAAAAAAGCAACATCCTACCAATAATTCAAACAAGGGAGAGTCAAGGGGCACAGACATTGCTAAGGCATATTAAATAGTACAGAAACCTATAATCTGTTATTTACTTCTAAACTGAACACAAATATCCCAAGTTATCCCCTTTTAGAACCAGAAGGGAAAAAGCACACTCATGTCTATTTATGCATAAAGGAATATTTGAATCCTCACCCATAACAAGTTAAAAATAATTTTTAAAATATATGCACCAATTAATAAATTAAAGTTTTTTTGCAAGTTACCTCAAAGTTGATTGTTTGGACAGACAAAAGCAGGCATTTGTCCATCACCGTGTTAACTACTGGTAGAATCAATATTTAACCATTTTGATTCTTGTTATTTACTATACTTGTCTATTTCCAATTTATGTTATTTAGATCTCACACAGAGACTAAAACATGCCAAAGTTGAACCAGACAGAGATGAATTCACCATTACAAATTATTGCTTTCAGTACAGGAAAAAAGAGCAGCTTCTGAGCTGCAAGAGCCAAATTCCAAAGGTTTCTATGAAACACCAACTCAAGCTTACATACTCTGAATTTGTCTCCATGTGTTGAGTTTGCCACCAGATGAGTAACTTTTGAGCTGAAGTCTCTTCGGGTAATTCCACCCATATGATGAACCAAGGTCACGAGCTTAACCTGAAAAATAAAGATGAAAAGTTTTCAGTATCTTTTGAAGAGCAAGTTCAGTACAAAAGTGATTTACAAAGCAAGTTACAGAAGATTACATTAAATGTCTAGAAATAGAAATACTCTGATCTGTTCTTAAAACAACTTGGTCACTTCAACAGAAGATATAGCTTATACATCAAAAGAACTATTAAGATTTATTTTTATTTCAACATTTAATACAGCCTTGCTGTGCAGCCTGAAGACTATCCAAGCCAGCAGTACTCTCATAACCATCATACATAATGCCTTCAACTTTTCATACATGTTAGATTTCACATTTTCCTTGCTGAGTTAGTTAATTCTTGATCAAACCTAACTAATCCCAACATGAAGCAAAGGCTTTTTGGTTTGGGTTTAATTTTTTTCAGATGAAGATGTGGAGCCATATTGTTGATTCTCAGGTGTCAAACAGGGAAATTAGATGCCAACTGCCTAGTGAAATGGAAAAGCAAAGTGCTAGAGTATCAAATAAAGAGTAAAGTCCTGATAGCACAACATCATAACAAGATAACATGCCTGCAAATGCTCTGGACAGAGCTACAAAGATTTGGCCATTCTATTTACCTGTACAAAAAAAAGAGGACACTGCTGGGTAAACATTCCCTTATCTGAAGCCTCAACATACAAATCTTTGAGCCTTATTGAATTAGAGCAGTTTAATGTCACTCGACAAAAAAGTGACCAAAAATGACACAGATAAAATGACTTCAACAAAATTTTGTTCCCATCCTCAAATATCACTGGCTCTGGACTTGCAAAAATACAAAAGAACAAACAATTTATTCTCCCCATACAAGCTTAAGCTATGGTTAAACCCTATGGGTGATGGAGCAGAAGAGTATCTTGAAAATATACTTAACATGGTTTTACCAATCTGAAGAAGTATAAATCACTTACTAATTCATCTTTCTTTCTGAATCCTGTAAAGCACAGTACCAAGTTCAACATACTTGCACAGTACAGTGGACGGCAGGAGAAAGGTAAAGGCTGAAAACAAGAAAGCTCATGAGTCAACAGCATATTGCTCCCATTAAAGTTTTCACATTACCTTTAATACATTACAGTCACTTCTAATATTAAAAATGCATCAGAGACTAGTCCAGGTCTGTGTATTAGTTATACCTTAGCTCCGGGCCTGCTGATAAAGTAACTAGAATATCCCCAAGTTCTACAGGTAGTACTCCATCCTTTTATTTCCTCCCCAGTCTACCTGCTCTACATTGCAACTTTTGGAACTATTAAGTAATTACTGGAGAATCATTTGTATGCTGCCTTTCCTAATGGCACAATCCCAGCTGGTGATCAACGACTTCCACAGCTACACCAGCAATTGTAGCCTTATCGCTGTCTGCCTGTGCTCTCACTATGTGCGATATTCTAACACAGCATTAGAAACTCGCTTTTCTTAAAATTCTCTTGCTAGGAATGTTTATAACTGATTGGAAGAGCAAGAGAGATTTTACTGTGAACTCTTGGAACTCACTGCAGCAGGGAACTATTCATCTGATTTCAGCAGGAAGTACACACCTCTCCTTTCTGTGCACAGTGCAGCACGACTGGTGGCCCGATGACTCGGCAATCTGCCTTGCAGAGGTTGCTAAAGATGGGAGCTTGGAAGTCTGACACAACGAAGACCGTCTCAAATTCTGGGGAATCAGAGTCTCCAAGCTCTTCTATCGTGTCTGTCTTTATGTAGGGCATTTTAATTTCCTTGATGTACAGGGGTAAAAGGGAATGCATTACTCAGGCAACATATTTGTACAAGTGTAAAACTCAATTGATGTTTATTTTGGACCATTAGAAAAATGTGTGATTCATATTTCAGAGACAGAGTTAGGATTTGTGAAAGCTGAATGCAATGCACTGTTCTCTACCATAAGAAGAGCTATGAACTGCTGCATGCTTTAAGACTGAATGTCAAAATAATTCCTGCTTTTGAAAACTCAGAATTCTGGTTGTTTTAGCAGTTTACATATCAGTTCACAGTGATAATGTAGCACTAGAAGTAGATAGATAGAAAAAACACCCTAAGCTTAAAAGATAAATGAAATTTCAGACTGTCAGAACAGCTTGGGGTACTTGGGGATGCTGCTAAAAAGTAGCATCCAGTTTGCAACAGCAAGCTCCACGCTGCAGAACATCTACAAACAAAAACAGATTTTGTTCATTGCTTGGTATTTTTAAGGGGTTAAAAATTTGGGCCATTCCAATTTCAAACATTTATTCCAAACTTTATCACTTATGTCTTTCTCATCAGGAAATGGAAAAGCATTTCTTGCACTTCAGTTTAAATGCAGCTTTCAATTGAAAGAGAAGCCCATTGACAATTACAAAGTCAGTTCATAGCACAAACTTATGTGTGACTGAATACAAGCATGCAGTTGGATATCCCCACAGATATTTTGATGCCCCTGTTAGAAAACACCACTAGGTAAGAGCTGCAAGTATTACTCCATATTTTTAAAAAGTGCTAATTTTGGTGAGCTGTGACACCACCAGAACCATTAGCATATATTATGACCATTATACCAAATTAATTCAAATTAAATTGTGTGCACATTTCAGTCCCAGTGAAGCGTAACATGCTGCATGCAATTACATGTGCTGAATTGCATGACATACCATATGAATAATACTTTTTGTTAGTTTTTCTTCTGATTTATCAGGACTACTTTCCTTTATCTTTATAACAGGTACTTCCATTATCTTAATGGTCTGTGGAAGAGGAAAACTTTAGTACAGAAGCAAATTGGTTACCAGAAGTCTGAAGGCATAGCATGTCCTTCCAGTGTCTGTTTTATCTCAGGCCCACATACCTCCAAGGCTTTCAGAAGCTCCTCACGTTTCCCTGCTTCCTGAACCAAAACCACTCTTGTTTCTATTTGAGGCATTTCTTCTGCTTAGAGAGAAGCAAGGATAATATTTGTATTTTAGCAGAAAAATCCATGTTATGTCTAAATCAAGCAATAATGTATAGAAGAATACAGGCAAACAGTAGCCTTTCAAGATTCCTTATCAGGAGCAATCCTGAAAATAAATGTTACTTCAAGAAGAGCATCCTTTAATTAAGGCATACCAAATTGACTTAGAGCCCAAACTTTCTAGTATGAGGTGAAACATGAATGTGCAATTTATGACCAGTCAAAGCAAGAACGTAAATCAAGGGGTGGGGAGGAAAAAAGACAAAAAGCAAATGAAAACCCAAAAAAATTATAGGCTTAATGCTTCTAACAGAATTAGATACCAAGATTTGCTGGAAAATAGACAGTTGGTATCTTTTCTAGTTTGTGTTCCTGGCTGACAAGGTTCATTACATTCTTGGTAACTGAGCAGTTACCAAGAATATCAGAACTGAAATTAGATGCCTTGTTCTTTTTTTTCCCACATATTAATAAGCCTTCAAAATATTAGGAGGAAGAACAAATGTTGCCTCCACTTCATTTGCATCAACAGATCACCAGCAGATTTTGACTACTACCTTGGAAAAAAACATTGGTGGTTGCTCTTTAATTTCAAGATTTGTTCCTGAATTAATTCTGGGCTCTTAATCTCTCCACCTCTCTACCTTATACCTATTAATCTGTCCACCTGTACACAACAGAGCAGCTGCAGTGTCCAAACATTGGTGTCAAACTGTCACCTGGAGTTATTTATCTCACAGAAGAGGCATCAAATGGAACTGACAGCTTTCTGTACAAGAGCCAGAAAATTCATTCAATTTGGGCTGTAACTCCAAATTTTCTTAATGAAAGGATTCCAGATCATTACCCTTTTCCCTACTCCACGTACAACTTTGGAGTTCAAAGCACTTTAGGTTTTTCAAAACTACTAAATACCAACAAAGTAATCAGTCATTGCAAAAACTGAGTAGTCTTAAAATAAACTTTGCCCATTACCTTCAACATCCAGAACAGTAGCACGGAATACATTCTCTTTGGAGGTTTCTATAATTTTTGAATCAAGAACAGATGAATCAGCCAAGAGGCTCCTCCCAGTTTCAGACACCAGAGTACTGTTGTCAGCCATGATTATATCTTGTTTCTTTCTTCAACAGCTGGAAGATAGAGGGGCCAAACCCAGTTACAGGTGCAAAAAGCTCATCCATAAGAGTCCTATGACCAAGGCTGTCTGAAGTGACTTCAGAAAACAAAACATTTAGGCTCCTACTGAACTCTCACTCACTAATAGAGCAGCTCTGAAAGAGCATCAAGAGTAACACAACTGATAGAAAGGACTGACAACAAAGCTGTTACAGAAACGGTTCTCTAATTCACCTGCACAGAGAGCTGCAGAGAGGGAACTTCAGCTGTGAGCACAGGCAAGTACAAACTCAAGTGCTCATTTAAAAAACCTTAACCACAAAGCATCAAACTAAAAGCACTTCTTTCTTTCAGTGACAAACTATTACAAGCTACAGTTGAGACTAAAATTAGTGTTGTTGATTTGAAACATTAGCAGAAGAATTCGGGTAAGTACAACATCTTGCTAAAATCTGATTTTTCAGGTGAACTGGCTAGAGATACTGTGGTTAGAAATGAGCACCCTGAGAGCAGAGCCAAGATATTTACTCTTAGAAAAATTAAAAAAGCTTGTGAGTCTCTGCAAAGCTTATATGCATATATATATATATAGCTGTATGGCCTGCTCTACTGTCCTGCATTAACTATAACAGAGTAGAAGTACCCTTTTATCATCAGATAGAAGCCTTCTCTCTTCTCAAACAGAATGCAGCTGGGCTCCCTCTGCCCATCAGACTTGTCACCTACTGGAAAGGCAGAATCCTTAACTCTCTCATTTTCTGGGAGCTACCAACCCAAATCCTGCACCACAAAGATTGTTCTAAGACACCTGCCCAACACACAGCACGTTTTCTGTCACACATGAGGCAAGCAGGGTGCAGGTCCTGTGATTCATCACACACTCAAGATTCCAGTGTTTGCACAGTGATATCAGAAGCTACCTGGAGCAGCAACTGCAGCTGAACTGCTGCTGGATAATAACCCTTTGTAGCACTTTTAACTGAAATTGTTCTTGTGACTGTAAATGCCCTTTTAAAACAGCAGCTACTCAAATACTGCCTAGAGCATTGTCTGAAAGTGGCCTCTTGGTGTAGTGAAACCCCTGGAGAACAGCACATACTATTTTACAGATTCTGTAATGACCATCCTATTACATAGCACAGTAAGTCAGAAGACAAAAAGCGATGGGCACTTTGGCATAACAGCAATACAGAAAAGGTTTTATCTTCCAGAGATCACATCTGGGATTTGTGGAAAAGATTCAAATCTTCATAACACACAAGTTCCTAATACAGTCATGAGCAATAATCAACACTGTAAATCTATCGTTATTCCAGACATATTCAGTTAGCAGACTTGCCACCTTAGTTTCAATTTCCAGGTCACACACAGCTGTTCACGTTCATAGAATTGAGTTTCCTAGACCTAAGTCCCAGTCACTCGCCCCATTTTTCTCAAAGCAGCTTAAGACAGAGCAAGAGGAGACCATAACCTCAATCACAAAGAGTCTTTGGGGAATCACCTGGCCAGAATATTACAATGTCACCACCAGGAACTGCTATACAGTTACCAATCTTTTTGGCAGCAAGGGTAGAAGGAAGCATAATCTGGGCAGATTCAAACTACATTGTTAATAATGATTACCACAAGGACAATTCTATGTAAGTTCAGAAGAAAACAAGTGCTCCAGTTAAAGGCACAACTAAACTTAAATCTTAGAGATTATTTCTTAGAAGTCTGAAACATCAGTATGGTTATTATTATACAAAATAACATATATATAAACTTAGAAAGAACTTCATTGCATATTTGAAGAAGCCCAGACTTTGGTCTAAGTATTGATTTTCTTTATGGATTTTCCAGTTTATTTATTTTTGACGTTACATCCTGGGTGCATTTAAAAATATTCTTTATTTTAATAATAATATAATAATAACAATATTTGTCACTAAACTTAAGGACTGATAGTCCCAGGATACAGAGGAGCAACAAACAGCACACACAGACAGGAACACAACAGTTTTGCCACACATAAAGAGCAAAAGTCAGAACTCCATCACTACAGGCTTCAGGCAGAGCTAATATCCCCCACAGCATCACACTCGGAAATGACCTCGAAATAAATTGTGGAAAGCCTGAAGGACACAAGACACCCACAAACCAAAAGATGCTTGTTAAAGCAAGGAAAGGACACTAAAAACCTCCCACATTTCCCACGGAATCACCCAGGAAGGTTCCCGAGCCATCTGCAGGGAGGTGGCCGGGAACAGGATAGGACAGGACGAGGGACCGCAGCAGTCTCGGGCCTCACGAGCCAGCAGGTGCCGGCGGGCCCAGGGCTCCGCCCTGCCCAAGGAGCACGGCCGGCGGCCTGAGGAGCCCCAAAGCAGCGCTGGGGCCCGGAGACCCCACAGGTGGCCGGCACAGCGGCCCCGCTCCGAGCCGCCCGCACGCCCCCCAGCCCCAGTGCCTCCTCACCGCCGGTGCCACCCGCCGCCATCCGCCATCAGCGGCCGCCGCCAATTCAAAAAGCGAGCCGCCGCACTCACACCGCCGCCCATTGGCTGCCGGCCCCACCGCCCCTCTGTAAGCTGCCCCCTCATTCGCCACGGCCGCGAGATGCCCCGCCCTCTTGCCCAGCCTTTTCGTCCATCCGTGCGCCCTTGTTCCTCTCGGATTGGTCGCTGTACCTGCCACTCACACGCAGCCAGCTCCCATTGGCTGTGAAAGACCTCCTGGGCAGACGCGCAGCGCTTGTTGCTGTACGGAGCGCAGGTTGCTGAGTGGGCGGGGGGGACGAGCTCTTCGCTGATTGGCTGCTGGGAGGGGCACTCTCTGCGCTGATTGGCTGCCGCGGGGTTTGAACGCTCCCAACGGCCGTGCTGAGAGACCCGGATGGAGCGAGGGGCGGGAGTGGCGCCGCCCTCACGGCCCTCACCTCCCTGTGTCCGGCAGCCCTTCACAGCAGCCCGGGACACCCGGAGAAGGTCGCTGTGGTCACCGCAAAAACAATAAAGGTGCTAATAAGTAAAAAAAAAAAAGGGTATCGGTGTGCATCTCTGTATTGCGTTTCAGAATATTCAGTTCGTAGCACACAGGAGCTGCCGGGAAAATACTTGTCAAGATGAAAATCAACCAGCTGACTCCACGGCACCAGCCCCGAAACAAATTAATTATGCCAAATGCTTAAACCGTCCTTCTAATTTTCCCTAATATTAATTCTTACTGGTACGGAAAAGAATTCTGTAGTAGGGACTCAGCATCCTGGAACCTGATTTAGCACAATGTTTCACTGCAAATGTAAACTCCCAACGTAAAAACAATCAGAGATATTTCTTCTATTTCTAGTATGTTCTATTATCTGCCAATTTGAGTTCTTAGATCTTCCAAATTTTTTTTATACAATAAGTATTTTTCAGTTCAGGCTTTTTAATGACTGACTCAGCAGCTGTAAAAGTTCATTGACTTTTTATTATTTGGAAAAAATAAAAATAGGAAAAAGTGTAAGAAAATGATAACAGGTGTTGTGTAAGTGGGTACAGATTTGCTGATGAGGTACACTGAAATTAGGACAATTTTCCGGAGGAAAAGATTTCAGAATAACAACCTGGAAAACAAGGACGTCATTTCAATGTTGACACTTGTGACAAATCATGACACTATTACACAAGCCCTACAATTACTTTGTTTCACATTGACTAGTTTCAATAATAACTTACAGTCAAAATACACCCTTACCTGAGGTCCTTTTGTCACCTTTAAGTACCCACTTGGGCCATCATTTTGCAGTTCCAGGCCAACTTCCACTGACTTTTCCACTGCTTTCTCTTTTCACTGCACTCCTTTAAAAAGTCTTTTTCAGCCCTTTCAGTCCTTTTATTATTACTTGTTTCTGGAAAAGATATTGGTGATTGCACATTCATTTTAACTTAATGTCAAAATCTTAAAAGTCGGCATAAAATGTGCCTGCAAAGACAGGAGAACCATATTTATTTGGACATGGCATTAAGAGGGGATAAGATGCATCACTTCTTGGTTAAGAGGTTTAAAAAATAATATGTTATTCAATAATCAATACTCAAATGTTCAGTACATAAACAGAAGGTCCCTGTGCATTTGGGAGTGACCTGCATTAGCCAGTTTTTAAACATACTTGAAAACCCAAAATTACAAACTGATAATGCAATTTGGTTATTCTGGTGAACCTGGAGTCCTAGAACAGAACGTAGACACAATTTAGGTAGTAATCACTTAAAAAAATCTGACTAAGTTGTTGGGTTTCTTAAACCTCACTAAAGATTAGTACAGGACTGATGACAAAGTAATTACTATTCTTCATATGTCTGAGATTTAAACATCAAAATGTTTTTCTAATAAAAGGCTCTGAAATAGAAACACCCATTCTTCTATGTTCTGTAAAATGCAACATGCAGCTGCAACCTGGTTCCTTCCAGTTAAGCAGGCATCAGTAGCCCAGGCGTAGAACATCTTTTTCATTGTTAAATAGTTTCCTCAAGCAGTGCCACTCACAGGGAGAACGTTTCAGGAGATTAAATCATTAAATAAATCCTGACAGGACGCCTCCGTGAGAGCAGGGATCTCTTACCTGTGGTGAAAAGACAAGGAGACCACATTGGAAAAGCTGATGGAACCCCAGGAATCCCAAGGAGACCTTGGTACCCCGTGTTGTCCAGGGAAGTTGGGGTCCAGCACCTCTTTCTTGGCTTCAGAGTATGAGCTTATATAGGTAAACTGCCTATGTAAGATGGCTTGGAAGCATCCTGAGGTTTCATTTATCTCTTTTATATTTTGTTAAACAAAGGGATCTTTCTCAAACCACAGTGGTTTATTGTTGGTTTGTTGGTTTGGTTTTTTTGGTTTTTTTTCAATCAACTGACTTCTTTTTGAGCACCTGGAAAACAACAAATTCCAAAGAGACATTGATTCAGTTTAGCCAGAGCAGCAGTTTTAAAAATGTGAGGAAGGGGAGAGATTAAACACCAGATGTTTGTGGGGGGTCAGTGAGAGCATGAGAAACCTCAGAAAAATCACATCCAACCTTTTTTACCTCTACTTTGAGGAGATAAGTAGCTCAGAGAGGAATGGGGCTCAGTTTTGCCAGAGGTTTGGGAACAAGTTTTGTTGGAAGAGCTGGGTACCAATTATTACACTCAGGATGCCAGGAGTGGGTTTTAGAGGCAGGAGCTTGGGAAAGCAAAGGAACAGGGGTGTGCAAAGCAAGGGAGGCAGGGGAGCAGGGCACAAAGAGAAAGAGAAGGTGTGAGCACAAAATAATACAGAAAAGCACAACCTTGTATAAAAATCTGGAGACTTCAGGGACTTACCCTGTGCTGTTTTTCATGGCAAAGCTTGTTTCTTCCCCTCTGTAGTCTACCCAAATGGATTGTGAAAACTTCAGAAAATCCATCTGCTATTGTTATAAAAAAAGGTTCAAGAAGCTTGAGGGTCTGACTTCCTCACACATTCCAGAAACTTTCTTCTGCAACCTTTAGAATCACCGAGGTGGTACTTCAGTTCCAGGAAAGCTAGACTAAAAGTTGACCTTTTACTTCTTTGAAATATATTTTTCTTATATTACGTTTTCTTGTCAATTTTTAAAGGAAACTTGTGCTTTCCATGACTCTATTTATATTTCTATGTGACTTTTATTATTATGAATTCATTTTTAATTATTGTCATTGTTAAGTTCGGTGCTTGTTCTTTTTTTATCTGCACTGAATTCATAATGTACGTGAATCTGGCTATTTAAATAAATATTGTAATTTGCTGACGATAGAACTGTGACCAAGTAGTGACTTGTGTAAAGGCTGAACTTGTTAGTGTTTGGGATGAAAAAAATCTATTTAAAATTTTTTACTGTCTTAGGTACAAGAAATATTCCTGTGTTAAACCAAAATTTGTTATTGACTCATGGTAAAAAAAATGAAAACTCCAACAAACTCTCAGTCCAAAACAAAATTACAAAATAAACACACCTTAAACAAATAATCTTTCTGGAATAATTTTGTGATGTATTAAATGGGAAACAGTATGGTTTCTTTAGGTAAAATAAGAGTGTCCCTGGTTCCTGGAAACACCTTGAACCTGAGATACTCCTGAACTGACTTGAATTGATCCATGTTACAGCTTTCATCTCACCTCCTCAGCCTACCTGAAAATTGATATTCCTGTTCTCTGCTAGCAAAGAGCTGCCACTGCACACATCTGCTGCTGCTACAACCCCTAAATACGAAAATCAAGGCCAGGTGTGACAGGGCTTGTGGAAGGTGTCCTTGTCCATGGCAGGGAGTTTGGAATGAAATGGACTTTAAGGTCCCTTGCAACCCAAACCATTCTGGGATTCCATGAAACTGGTGGGGCTTTCTTATGGGTTATGCTTATGTGGATGCTGCCAGATCAGCCCCACAGAACCACTCAGCCTGAGGTGGGCAAAGGGTTTGGGTGTGGGTACAGGGGTCAGATGTGGTACAGGGTGTCAGCAGTGGGTACAGGGAGTCAGCAGTGGGTATGGGGTGCCAGCAGTGGGTACGGGGTGCCAGCAGTGGGTACAGGGTGTCAGCACTGGGTATGGGGTGCCAGCAGTGGGTACGGGGTGTCAGGAGGCAGCACAGCAGATGTGGATGCCTTTGTTGGCCGATCGCGCGATGGAGGCGCTCCGTCATCCCGCGCCTCGTGTCTGCACAGCCCCTTTCCCCGGGAGCCCCCGCCCGGCCCGGGCAGCCTCGGGCCTCTGCGATGCTCCGGGCCAGCGGTCACCGAGCCTCCCTGGCCGCGGGGCGCGGCGGCTCCGCGGGGCGGGCGCGGCCGGGCGGGGCGGCGCCGGGCGGGCTGTGGGCTCGGCTCGGGCCGGGCACACGGCCGGCGGCCCGGGAGGAAGCGCCGGGACTTCCTCCGGGGGAGGCCGGCCCGGGGGCGGTGCGCGCCCCGCGGGGAGCGCGGCGAGGCGGCCGCACACGGCGCGGAGGAGGCGATGCGGGCCGCCTGGGTGCTGCTGCCGGCGCTGGCCGCCCTGTCCGCCTACTATGTGTACCTGCCGCTGCCCGGCGCCGTGTCCGACCCCTGGAAGCTGATGCTGCTGGATGCCACCTTCCGGGCGGTGCAGCAGACGGTAAGGCGGCCCCGGCAGCCCGGCTCACGGGGGGCGGGCGGACAATCCCCGCGCCGGTACCGGGGGCGGTCGGAAGCGCGGTAACGGTGCCGGCCCCGGGGCATCCGTGCAGCGGGAGCGGCCCCCGCACAGCGCGCCCGGCTCGGCCCCACGGGGCTGCCTTGTGGCCGGAGCCGAGCGGGGAGTCCCCGTCACCCCGGCTCGGTGACATCGGCCGGAGCCGGGCCGGTCCCGCAGCACCGGGCGGTCCCGCACGCAGCAGGAGAAGCGGGTTCGTGTCGCTCTGTGACGCGCTGGCTCCGCGGTGGCAGCGGAGCGGGACAGCCCCGGGTGTCTCCCTGTCCGTCCGTCCGGCCAGCGCCGCTCGGCACCGCCCGCTGCCAGCGCTGCCCGCGGCTCCTGGCACAGCCTGACCGCATGGGGGTCGGTCTGGTGCGCGAATGCGGGCTCGTGGTCAGGAAAAAAGAATTAGTGGGTTTTAATCTGATCCGTTATGTATGCCTTAGGGAAAGAAGACGTAGGAAGCTCTTGCAAATATTAAACTTGATTGGGAGTCTTATTAATAGAGAAAACTGAATGCTTGCTTTTTGTCACAAAGCAGTTGTCACTTAATGATTTCTCCCTTATTTTCTGCCAGTGTTTTTATGCTGACATGAAAAAGAACAGAGATGGCAAAATTTCTGATAATGGATTTAGCTGTGAAGTTTGTTTTCTTCTAATATCTGATCTTTCACAAGTACTGATCAGTCATGGACAGGACTGATGTAAGGCACTATGTATGTGAAAACTGAAAGTTGTTTTGATTTTGATTTCAGTTTACTGAATTGTTTTGAAATATGCAAAAGCTTGTATTTTAGCAGATGATGCCTTCAAAAAATGGATTAAAGAGGACAGAGGGCTCAGAAATAGACTAGGTGGGAATGTACTTGCTACATTCTTAATGCAGTAGCAGTGGATAGTGGGAAGCATGAGGACAGTGAACCACACAATGTCCAAACTTGAATATTCTGAATATTCTGCCTGAAAAGCTTCTCTCGTTGTCACCTTTGGAGACAGAGACTGGGATTAAATGGATCGCTTATCTGGATCCCCTGGGACATCTTATGGTCCAGTTGTATGGCTGAACCAAGGCATGGCTCTAGGATGAAATGATAACACCTGTTTGCTGTACAGATAAAACCTGGTCACTTGTATATCCTCTTGTGTGATAGGAAAATTATGCAATACAATAGCTTAAATTTTGCAGTAAAGTCTGCGGCTTGACATTCACTTGCTCCATGTTTTTAACTCAAATGACTGAACTACAGGTGCTCAGCTTGCTCAAATTCATTAGGGACAGAAGGGCCATGCTGCCTGCAAAACACAGTGTCAATGTTTGTCCAGGAGCACCTGAATCAAGGCCAGAACCTCTGGCTGAAGGAGACCAAACTTTAGAAAATGGTGTGACTATGACTATATATATTTATATTGCTGCTGTCTCAGCTATATATTCAGTTTATGTGATGTGTTGGGCATAGATGCATTCTGGTGCCTCTAGTCTGAGGACTATGTCTTTGGTCATAATCCCAGGAGGAGCTGGCAGGACAAAGCCTGGTGGGTGCCATCTGGAGCAGGCTGGTGGTAGGGCTGAGGTGCCCACATCTGCCCCACTCTCTGGGGCAAGGAAGACTTTGTTAGGGGATAGTGGTAATTTCTTAGTTGTTTACATCTCTGGCCTTAGAAATAAAAACTTCAGTAGTGAGAAAAACTACAAAGCAAGTAACAGTTTCTGTAACATCACTTGCAAACCAAAGGGACGAGTAAATTTTACGTAGAAGCATGAAGGAGGTGAGTTGTTAGAGATGCCCCAGTCACACAACAGGTGAGCCTTGGGGCATTGGTTTCTGGAGAGAAAAGAGAACGTGCTTCCCAAGTGTTCAGAAATCTTTATAACACTGGGGCAGCACAGTCGGGAATAAATGACTGTCATTAGGAAGGAACTCTTGTGAACCTAAGGTAGGATTGTAAAAGTTAGGCAGCTTTTGTTTGTGTTTGTATATAATAAAGTGTACGTCCTTTTCTAGAGCTCAGCTTCCTCTTTCTTTGTCTATCAGCTGTTTCAAGGCCAAATGGTTTAACATTTCTCTCAGTGTGACTGTTGAACTTTCACCCACTTCTGAATGTATTTCAGCTTGCTGTTTATTACTTTGCTTTATAGGTCTGATAGCTGACAGAAACACCTTTCTAATTTTAAAATCGCTGAAATGTACCTTTTCCCCACAAACTTCACGTGCTTCAAATAAATTAATTGTCTCTTGCTTATTTTGAAATGGATTTCTCAAGACTCTGATGACTAAATGTGACCATTTCTTGTTAGGAATAATGTGTTTGTTTGCTCAGTGCATTAATAATCACTGTGAATAAAACACATAGGGCTGTCACTGGCTTACATTTGCATGTAGAGGTTTGTCCCAGTCAGCTATAAATTTCTTTACAAGCTTGGGTCTGAGTCAGTGTCCTGGCCCAATGTGAGACTCCAACAAACGGTGAAGTATAATCAGGTGATTTTAAAAGTGCGCAATGCTAGTAGGGCAGTTTCTTTATGTTTCAAAATGTACTACAAAAGGGAACTGATACTGCTAACCTAGTCTTAAACTGAGTGAAACAGAGGTAGGAAGAGCTGGAGTGCTTATCTGAGGCCACAGCAGTTCCAGTGAAGGAGCTGAAAACTGAGATGACTTTTCAGAGCCTTGTTCTTGTGTCCTCTCTAATGCCTTGTGCTGCTCTGGAAAGAAAACAGAGAAACTGAGACTTTAATGATATTAATGAATTGATGTGAAAAGGCTTACCTAAGAAAGGGTAAATTGTCCGTCACCTGTCTTAAAATGGGGCATGGTAACATTTTTACATAAAATTGAGATATAACACAATTTGAGATTAGGAATTTTAAAACTTCATATGCATATATATATATGTATATGTATATGTATCTACAGGTACATCAGAACTCAGCTTCACTGAAATTTGGGAAGCCACATAAAGTTAATTATGAGATTGAGCCATAGATTTAACCACAGTCATTTTTTCAGTTGATGTCTATTTCAACGTGTCTAGAGCAACACTTCGTAATTCTGCTGTAACAGCAGTATTAATAACAGGCGTTTTTCACTTCTTCCTCTAACCACTCTCCCTTAGAGGAGGAAAGAGCAGCACATGTTTATTCAAGTCCTTTGAAATAAGTTATTTCTGAACACCACTGTAAAGACACTTTCTATTCTGGTGCATGGCAAGGAAAGAGGAATTTTTTTGGAACTGGGACAGCTGGTAGCAAAGGTTTGGAAGGATAAACGGGTTGGCATGGAGGCCATCAGATAGATGTATATGGAAGAAGGCAGGGAGCTGTACAGGGCAGAAAACTTCTCATCAGCCAAGTGTTTCCATTATGCTTCTTCTCTACTCACTTTTGGAAAATATTTCAGAGTTTGTGATTTCTGGACAGATGTAAGTCATAGTTGTAGGCAGTGAAGTAAGTTGTTGATGGTTTTGGATGCAAGAACAGTCTTAGAATTGATTTACAGTAAAACAGGTTTTTAGTTATGGCAGGTAGGTCTCACAGCACTGGCACCTGAGCAGAAACTGAACCACACTGTAAGTCCTATTTGCAGGAACATGCATGCTGCTGTAAAAGTAGATCATCATGGTTGAACAGGTACATACAAAAAACCTTACATTAAAACGTAATCTAGATTTTGCTTCTAGTTAATAAACTGAAAAACAGTCTTCCTAGTTTCTTTTTAGTTCTAAAGGAAATTCATAAAACTAAAAGCACTTGTCTTTGAAAACTGTCTTTATCTAATAGTATTAAAGAGACATGTTCTTTTTTGGCAACAGGACACTTTCATTGAGAAATCTTTTTGTAAAATCACCCTCAAACAGGGAAAATTGCCCAAAATGCACACAAAACAATATGTTCCACACACAGCTAAATGTGGAAATGATCCTGTTTATTTTTCACTAATCTGTTACTGACTACAGACATTGTCTTGGCATTTTGGCCTCTTATCTTTATAGAAATCTCCTTTTCAAAGCAATGCCAGAACTGTCTATAGTGTCTGTGTCTTTTAATGTAGCAAGGTGAGTTTTAGGCAGTTCACCTGCCTGAAGTTCCAGCATCATTACTCGGTTGAGTCATGAGTGAGATTTGGCTCGGTCCCAAGTAGTGCTGGATGTAAAAAGAGCCTGAGCTGTTTTCCCAGTTCCTGATCCCCCCCCCCAAAGCCAGAAAGGTCAGTGCAGGACCTTGGCTGTGTCTGGCTGGAGGGCACTGGAGGGAGCAGCTGCTGGCTCTGGAGGGTGTTGCCTTGGCGCGCTGCAAGCTCGACCTGTCGCAATAATTCCGACCTGTCGCAATAATTCCGTGGCTAAAGGGCAGAGCCAGGCTTAGCCAAGGAAGTCGTCTGAGGACAGAGAGTCCCCATGTGCTCAGTAGTATTAGAGGTTACTGGACATTAGCAACAAAAACTTTTGGGTTACTTTTTTGCAATACAGAGTATGGAATTCAAGTCCTTGAGGGATGTGAGTTTCTTCATTAAATTATCAGCTGAGGAGACAATAGAAGAATCCATATAATTTAGGGACAAGTGTTGGTGGTTAAAGGTGAATAGTAGTGCCTCACTGGTGCAGTACTTTGTTCATTCTGCCCTGACTCCTTTCTTCATTTACTGAAAAATTTCTCCTACATCAATTAAATCTTTCAGTATCTGGCACCACGTATCAAAGAATTTACCAGAAGGAAAGTGTCAGTCTTGAACAGTTCAGTTCCGAGGGAGTGCCTGCATAGCCCTTACCTTAAAATCTCAGACATGGGAATGACCTGGTGAAAGAGAAGGAGATTTTGCTGTAGTGGGAAAACTTGCAGCTGTGACCAGAGAGAGCAATGTGCTGTGCCTGTGGCACAGTTGCCCACAGGCTTTTCATCTTTATACTATCTCCACTTTCTTTCCTGTAGTCTCTTTACTTCCCCCTTTTCCTTATACTTTCTCTTCCTTTCTGCTAGCTTTTAGTATTACAGCACTGTCTGCTCTCCCTTTTCAACAGAGAACATCACTGTTCACCTCTTCTCTTCTCTTCTCTTCTCTTCTCTTCTCTTCTCTTCTCTTCTCTTCTCTTCTCTTCTCTTCTCTTCTCTTTTCCACATACACCCAAACACACAATCCCCAAATATATTTAAGTGTCATATTTGATAACCTGCAGCAGCCCTGCAGGTTATACCTGGAAGGGTGGTAAAAATCACAGCTACCAGCAAAGATCAAACCCATTGTTGCTCACATGAGATGAGGAGTTCCAGTTTTTTACTGGATTTAAGGCAATCCAGCTGCTGCCACAAGGGCTGGTCCCATCCTTTCTTTCTCCTGCCTTGGGGAAGCAGTAAGGGGGTGACATGGCTGAATTTTAGTGTTTCTCTGGCTCTAGTGGGTTTGTATTGAGCTGGTGCAGCATGGTCGTGCTCTGAGGCTTCCAGTGGCACCACAAGAAAGGTGCCAGGGAAGAACAGGCATCAGGATGGGCAGGGCTGTTCTTTGAGTGGCAAAGCACTCCTAGAGAAGAGTTGGCCAACCACATCTTCTGCCAGGAGTATTAGTACAGACTGCTAAGATATGATAGATATTTTTTTAATATTTAGAGAGAGGAAAAGAAGAAATTTACTTGTGAAAACTTTGGACAAGACCGGCTCTTTGCCAGCAAAAAGTGCAATCCTGATGCCTTGCAAATAACAAGCCTGGTTAGGCAGATTGACTAACAGAGAATCTATCTGATAAATGCTTTGCAAAAAACCTGCCCACATCTGATAAATAATTAGGAGTGTTGCATTTGTGCCCTGATGTAGAAAGCATCTCTTCCTGGTTTATGGATTCTTGGAAAGAGTGGTCTATTTTAGGAGAAATAGGCATGAAAGAGCATGGGCTGCAGATTGCCAGAGTGCTCCGTGGTCTGAAGAGCAGGGCAAAACACTTCTTGGTAAACACCACTAACTAGCCTTGGAAACAAAACATCCCTGATTCCAGGGAACATGTGGTAATCTTGTCTACAAAGAATGCAAACTAAAGTGGGAGAAAACAAAGACTAGATGTCTATTGCAGCACAGTCAGGCTAAATGAAATCTATTTTCTTTAGCAGTATTTCTAAAACTGCTTCCCAGTGGTTACCTCCCCTGGGAACCTCCATAGGGCAGAGAGGATCAGACCTTTATGTGGTTACATCAGTGGCAGCCCACCAATTCATGTACCAAATTATTAATAGATGTATTGCTCTTCAGATTTCAAACTAGTCCTAGGGTTTCCTGCGGGAATTTTAAGTAATGGTGGGAAAAAAACATGGGCTGAAACTTGGAGATACAAACAGCCTTGTGAATTCAGCATTTCTTCCTGCTGGGTGGATATTTTGTGCTTCTTCTCCCAGAGGAAAGACTTGAAGTATGAAGAAATTATATCCCATCCAAAAAGCAGCAAACATTCAAAATTTGAATTCCTACCAAACCATCTCAGCAGGGTGATGATACCACAAGTTAAAACAAGAAAAGAAAGCAATTTTTAGAAATTCTTGTTTTGGAAGTGGATTCCTCTCCCAGGTCATGTAACAGCCCATCGTATTTGGTGTAAATTTTGGGGTTTTTTTTAATATCAAACTTGTCCTTTTTTTCCACAGCAGTCTGCAGTGAAAGCTCTGCAGAGCCGTTTCTGTACAGAACCTGGATGAAAGCAAATATTTCAATTTTTTTTTAAATTCAAACTAATTAGGACAGAGGAAAAAAATTACATGTAAGAGATTGTGGCTGTAAGAGCTTTGGAAGAAAGGCTGCTGAGTGCTTCAAAGCTTGCTTTTATTCTGGAGGGGGGTGTGTGCAGATTTTGTACAGATTAAACTGGCAACTACCTGTTCTTCATCAGGTGAATGTGGTTAGACCAGTGCCTGGGTGACCCTGCTGGCTCTGTGTCAGCATCTTGAATTCTTTGTAGCAGGCTGCACTGCACTAGTGGGACTGGCAGAATTCACACTGCAAAGTGGGCATATGTAGAAAAGTCCTATACAGCAGGACACCTCTTGTTCTATTTGGTACCTGGACATAAAATAAAAGGTCCCAGCTGACAGTTTTCCTAGTGGTAGTGTTCCTACAGGTGCATGTTAAGTGTATCTGTTATTTTTACCTCCCAACTCCAGTTGTACAAAAGGCTTCACTGGTTATCCAGTCTCTGAGCTTAAAAGGGAAAGACCTCCACTACTTTTTCTTTTAAAAGGTCAGTCTGGACACTGTCGTCCTTTGGCTGCCCTTTTGCCACCCCTGGTGCACTGTCCAGGGCATGGGAACAGGTATGCACTACAAATAGTGAGCAGGTCATGTGTGGGGAGCAGGTCATGACCATTTCAAGTGGAGGAGTGCCTTGAATCCCTGTAGTGTGTGCTAAGAGAAACAGGTTTCTAATCGAGTCAGGGCAAAATGTTAAAAATAGACATGAAAATAAAAGTCCTGAATAGCTAAAGGTGATAAAATCTCTGTCTCCATAAGGAGACAGAAGGATCAGATCATTTTTCAGTTTCATAGTGCTTTAATCACATAAAAAGGTGACACACTCGAGTCTCTGGGGTTGGAATAAAGTGTCATTAACCTACGGTTGTTCTTGACTAGTGTTTCAGATCCTTCCCAATTCAGCAGGTAAACACAGGACAAGCCAAAAAGCACCATTATATTCCTTTAAGACTATCCCTGTTTCCAAATTTCTTTACAGTCCTTGGGAACTTTTCTTAATTTGGAAGTAGAAAGACTTAGGCTTTGCAGTGGAACAAGAGAAATAATCTGCATTTTTGATACTTTTCCACCAAAAAACATCGCCTGTGTAGTATTGCCCTCTGCTGGCACCACTCTGAGGAGCTTCATAGGTCCCCTAGTGGAACATGCGGTTTGTCCCCTTCCAAGCATTTTTTAGAGGATCCGAGTGTTTGTTCATGGTTGTGATCCACAAAGTGCTCATGGTTTAATTTTATTTTTCCACAGGAAACCTTTTATGGGCACCATTTTGTTTTAATACAGCTTTAAAAATATTAGAGGTTTTTGATAAAATTTCATTTTCCAGTGAATATTGTAGGAATCATGTAGAACGTGTCCTTTGAAGGCAGTTGTATTATGCATCAATGTGGTGGCATATGATAAGCTCTAAAGTAACAAAAATTTCTTTTCTTCTTCTTTTCCTGCCTCTAGTGTCACCTGATTCACTATCTGAGACTCAGCCATCACTTGATAGTTCTGAATTATTTGATTTGCACCTTTGACAAGCTGAAGTCTGTCTCCTCTGAAGACATTAAGATCACGGATGCAGTTTTTGATGGTGTGGAAGTGCGAGTGTTTGAACCTCCTGCGAAGGGAGATGAAAGCCTCAAGCGCAGCGTTGTTTACATCCATGGAGGGGGCTGGGCCTTGGCTAGTGCAAGTAGGTGTCTGCCAGTAATTAAATAGGATTTCAGTCTGCTTTTCTCCTAGCAGGAAAAGCCAAAAGCTCCTTTACCTGCCAGGAGTGGCAGTTTTGCTAAGGTGTACCTGAATTCCGCAGTGATTGTCTCCACTCTGCTGGATCAAGTCTAATGAGAGAGGGAGAGAAATACCATGAACACACAGCAGAAATGCATATCCTATCTGCATGTGAGCTGTAAAAGGAACAAAAGGTTAATCTTGTTATATCCAGAGAGGAAAATATAGCTTTTTGATTAAATTTTTGTGATGCCTGGGTGGGCTGCTTAGGCCAGTCCCCCACTTTCTGACCTAATGTGCAAAATCAGTCCTTGGTGATCTGGTTCCAGTGGCTGTGTATAAGGATATTATGTGGGTTTGCCCCATTTTCAGAGAGTAATTAGCAGAAGACTGAGCTGATCTACGCTGCATGCAAGAGCCTTGCTAATGTTTGTTCTTAAAAAACACCTACCTGGGAACACACACTGATGAGCACAGACAGGAGGAGTGTGAGGGAAACAATTCGAGGTTGGCATCTCTGCGGGTTGCTCCTTAGGGATTACCACCACCACTAGCATAATTACCTTGAAATTTAATGATGTTTACTCCATTAACATGGAAACCACAAACATGATCAGAGGAAGTGAGGTACAGCTATGGGCAGCGATAAGGTAACCACTGATTCCTTCCACATTGTGCAGGAGGAAAACAGCCTTGGGAGAGAAAGGGCTTTGTGGTTCCTATGGCTGCTCTGAGATCCAGATCTGAGAAGAGCCTTCTCTCTTTTCCTTCCACATTGTTCCCATGACATTCTGAAGTCCATACAGCCCTTACGCATTCTGCAGCTTCCTCTACAGAAAAAGAATATCAGTGGATTTTTACAAAATGATACGAAACACGGACTATATTGATTGCATTTGGACTCTGGATGTTCAAGTCATTTAGACCATGATTTGAGTGAGATTTATATGGCTTTCACATGCCTTTGGAAATTCCAGTCTCTTTGTCCTGTAGCAGTTAAACATTTTACTCCTCTTCCTACAGAGGAATTGTGCTTTGAGATGGGTTTTCTTTGACCTGCCTAAAGGATATTTGTTAACCTCCTGCCTGCATAATTTCTTCTGTAATAGTTGGCATATGACTCTTGTGCAAAAGTTTATATTAAATTGCTGTACTTTGTCAGGATGATTATAGCTTAGCTTTGCCAGATGTATCCCTGAGTCCAAGATGCAGAAGTTAATGACACAATTGCTACACCTAAATACTAACTTCTAAGACTGGATACTTTAAAAAACATTTAGTGTCCTAGTATGTTTTATACTACTGGGAACTAACAATTGAGTAACTGGAAAGGAACAAAATTAAAGACAGTCAGTCCTCTGATAAATAGGATAGCTGTGATTAATCCTCCCTTAAATGAGTAGCTCAACTGACATTAATAGGGCAACTCATTTGAATCAAAGCAATGCATGCTATAATAAAATGAAGCACAGTCATTGCCTCATACACCAGTAACTCTCTCTGAATGTTAATTCCCCCAAACCACTGGGTACCTTAGATTTTAGCCAGCTGAGAAAATTGTGATAGGTGGGTGAAATGACGTGTCTGAAGTCCCCAAGAAGCAGAGGAGGAAGGAGGCATTAGACTGCAGGATTCTGAAGGCATGAATTACATTTCTTCTGCTGTGGTATGGATTTGGCAGTTGATCAGTTGCAGGCTGATCTATATCTGTGTGATGGCTGTATGTCTTCTGAGAAGGTTTAGGAACAGCTTTGTTACCATTCACTCACATGTCCCTAACACCATGTCCTTCCCTTCCAGGAACAAGCCTTTACAACAATCTCTGCAGAATCATGGCTGAATCTCTGAATGCTGTTGTTGTCTCTATTGAGTGAGTAATCTAAAACTGATCAAGTCGTTTTAAGGTATTAGAAATACGTAATGTAGTTTTTTTAGCTTCTCCTTCACTAGTGGCCCCTCTATAAGGCTTTAACTTGGACAGTAATTTTCTATATCAGTCTGATACCTTTATCCCTTTAAAATTACAACAAATTGGAACGGTATCAGAAATTCATTTGGGTTTCTAATTACTTTAGAATACACTGTGGGGTCTGGCAGTTTCCTGCTGCTCTCACAGTCTCCCACTGTTCCTCTTTTAAGCCTTGTGCTTCCCTCAAGAGCAGGAGACTGCCAGACAACAGAGAAGCAGGGCTGCCTTTTTAACATGTTGAACAATTCAAAGGCAAACAAACCTCTTGATTAGCTAAATACATTACCTAGACAACTCCAACTTGATTGGTACTGTTCTCATCTTTATTGTCAACTTCGGTATTTTCTTTTGCAAACCCAACCACTTGATAAAATTACTCAATTTTCCCACCTGCAGTTCATTACATAACAAGCTTTGGGATTTAATTGCAACTTAATTATATGGAGTTATGTTACTCATATAATGCTTATTATAGTATACTTTAAAGGGTTGAGGGGTTGGGTTTATGTTTTTTTTACAATTTTGGTTTTTTGTTATTAGAAACAAGGAAAACTACAAAAGCAGCTGTTGGTTGTTCCAGACAAGCAGCAATCACAATATTGAAAAGTTCCTTATTATTCCTTTTCTGATTTGTGCTAGTGTCATTGTGCCTATTGCTCTGAGTTACTATTGCCTCTTCTCCTTAATCATTATGTCCTTCAATCGAGGTGTTCAATTAGTCAAGTCTAATTAGAGTCCTCGTTGGTCTAATTGTACATCTCACTTTCACAATCTATGCACAGTTTACTGTTATGCAGTTTTGCAAGGAGCTCCCAAAGGACACTCTCAGAGTCCTGTATATACAAGATACAGATTGCTTTCTGACAGCAGGTCACAACTGGAGTTTGAAAGTTTTAATCTTAAGTTTAAATTTTCTTCTGCATATGAAACTTCTTTAGCTTACAGTCTAAAGATGTTTTGAGTCAGAGAACCGAATTTTGGTTCACTAGGCTCTACTGAGAAAGCATAAAATCTGTAGTTTGAAAAGCTTAAAACTTTGCTTGTACCATAAGGCCCAGTAACAACTCTTGGATGTCAGATTATTCAGTAAATACAAACAGATTTCTCCTGCACTGTTATCTAGAAGCTGAGAAAGCCTCGTGTCTGGGGTTCAGCTGCTGGCTCTTCCTGGCAGACTGTTTGCTCTCTCTGTGCCTTCATCCTCCACCTGCCCAGTGGGTGCATTTCTGCTCCTCTCCTTGATAAAGGAAAGGAATTGCTGTATCTGTTGCATTGGATAAAATTGGCATTATTTAATTTCTTGGCTATTGTTATTTCATGGCACAGAGGGATAAAACTGCCATCAGTAAAAATAAAACTGCCATCAGTAAACATCTGGGAAGCAGAAGTGCTTAGGTGTTTGCTTCAGCCAAATAGGAGTGTGTTGGGTGTGTATGATTTACTCACCCTTGTACTTGTTAAGGTGGGAATTTGGATCAAAACCAGGCGGAGTTAATGACTCTCTTGGCCAAGGGTATTTGAAACTATTGATTTTTACAATGCCTGATGAAATCCTCCATTGGGAAATCCTAGGAAAGTGCTGCACAATTTTATACTATCTTGGTATTATTCATGTCTAGTAGGTTCATTTTAATTTTTCCAAATTAGAGCTTTAATTATAAGATTAAGTCTTACATAGGTATTAAACACCTCCTACTTTTCCTGTATTATTTATCCTAATGAAACACTTATTCCAGTAAGGATTATCTGGTATCACCTATAAATCCTAAAGGAGAGGTACAATAAAGCAGAGGTAAGAATTGTTTCTCATCCCTTTTCTTTTGCAGATACAGGCTGGTGCCCAAGGTGTGCTTCCCCGAGCAGTACCACGATGCTCTTCGTGCAACAAAGCATTTCCTGCAGCCTGATGTCTTAGCTGAGTATTCAGTGGACCCCAGTCGAATTGCAATCTCTGGGGACAGTGCAGGAGGGAATTTGGCAGCTGCTGTGTGCCAGCAGGTAACGCCCACTGAGTGTTCTGCATTGCACTACAGCAGTCCAGCCCAGAGAGGGGCTGGCAGGTTCTTTGTGCTGCACCATCACAAGGTGATGTAGCACCCCTAAAAACAGAATGGTAGAAAGCCAGAATCCACTAATTTTTCTTGTGTAAAGTGACTCAGTCACTATGTGAATCACATAGGTGATTCACACAACACATGTGATGTGTTGTTACAGTTACAGGTTGTTATGGACCAGAGTTTAAGAGCAAGTAGCTAAATGAATTTTTTTAACCTATTTTGCTGGTGAACTCCTTATTTTTCCAAGTAGGCATAATTTCTTAATATGGTTGCCTATTTTTACATAATTGTCTGGAAATATGCTTTTCTTTCTTTCAAATACAAATGAAGGACAAAATATATGGTAAATTGAGCTTAATTCTTCTGTTAAATTGTCCTCTTGTAGCGTTTTGCAATTTTAAGAAAATTTCTTTTGTGTATCTGCAGTTTAAATGTAATCTGAATTTGATCTGCTAAAGAGTTTAAAGGAAACCCAAGGCAAGTACTATTTTTCACGGTTGAATGAAATACTGTTATTACTATCTTATTTCTATTTCCATAACCATTAGTGATAAGAAAGCAGATACCATGTCCAGGCAACTAATTAGCATGACAACCTTGCAATATTGAATTAGGGTGGAAAAATTAATAAGAGACAATTACAATAAAAGCTTCAATATTGAGGACTGTTAAACATGATAGTACCATGTTTTGGGAAGAGCATTCCTAATTCGATTTCCTGATGCATAATTCTTTTTAAACAAGATGAGCCATGATAGGGCACTGGGTGCCTTGTGTAGAAGGTGAAACATGCTGACTCTTACAGTAAGACAGTCAGGGGGCACCAAATGTGTTAATTGATAGACTCAAATTAAATGCAGGTTGAGTCAGAGACAGGTAGGTACTTCTGCACCAGGTGAGTGTTTGCTAGAAATTGTGGATGGCAGCAATCTGCATTGGCTGAAAAAAAATCAACAAGATCAATTCATGGAAGAAAAATCCATTGAAAAGGCCAAAGCAGCTCCTTTGATTCAGGCAATCCTTCTGTTGCCACTTGTTTAACTGGGCACTGTGTTAGAGAAATGCCACTTCACACATTTTTTTGTTCTTACTCCCTTCAATAAACTTATGTCACTGGTTTCTGTTGGGAAGGGGATGCTGGGGATGCTGCCTGAAAGGCCACCCAGAAAAAGATCAGGCTGCTGATACTTCAGACAAAGCAGCCACATTACATGTGTAAGAGCAGAATTCACTCTAAAACTGCCAAATGAACGTTCTCTTTCCTAAAGCTCCACATTGATATATGTTTATCTTCTTTATAACCTTCATTCTGTGCCGTGTTTTCCCGCACAGCTTAGCAAAGACGAGGATTTGACCGTCAGACCCAAACTGCAGGCCTTGATCTACCCGGTCCTCCAGGCCTTTGACTTCAACACACCCTCCTACCAGCAGAACATGAACATGCCCGTGCTCCCTCGCTACGTCATGGTCAACTACTGGATCGACTACATCAACGGCAACTACGAGCTGGCTCACGAGCTGCTGGTCAACAACCACACCGCCCTCAACGTGGGCCGCGCGCTCTCCTTCCGCGCGCGCCTCAACTGGACGGCGCTGCTGCCTCCCTCCTTCCGGAAGAGCTACAAGCCCGTGGTGCAGAGCACGGGCACGGCAGCCATCGTGGAGCGGCTGCCGGCGCTGCTGGACGTGCGGGCGGTGCCGCTGCTGGCGGACGACGCCACGCTGGCGCGGCAGCCGCGCACCTACGTGCTGACCTGCGAGAACGACGTGCTGCGCGACGACGGCGCCATGTACGCCACGCGCCTGGAGCGCGCCGGCGTGCCCGTCACCCTCGACCACTTCCACGACTGCTTCCACGGCTGCATGATCTTCACCGTGTGGCCCACGGATTTCTCGGCCGGCGTGCAGACCAGGAACAGCTACATCAAGTGGTTGGATGAGAATCTCTGAAGGGAGGGGCCCTGCTTGGGAGCACGGTGGGTGCGTGGCTCCGGTTCTGTTGTGGCGGAAGAGCGATCAATCAAAAAGTGCACTTTTCTGAATTCTGACTTCACCGTTGGCTGCAGCTGCTGAGGGTACAGACCACTGACTGCAGCATTTTCTAGCTCCATTGGCCTTGTCCAGTAAAGCATTTTTCTTTCAAACCAATCTTTTATCCACTTTCTCCCAGGTGACTATTGGCAAACATAAACACGTGTTGAACGGGGAGATCAGGATTCCTGCAGGATTCTTACCCAGCTGTGACCTTCAAGCTTTGACTCTTAATTAGGTACAAAGGCCGTGGCTTTCAAGTGATGTGAGATAAATCCTAACACATACATCTACTTCTGAATATATAAAAATATGAGCTAGTTTATAGCAGTGTTGAGCATCTGATGTCACAGTGAGAGCACTCACCTTGGGCAGCAGGGTGATGCATTTGAATGACAAGCACGGATTTAGGTGTTGGCTTTTTGCCATAGACAAACGACTGATTTAAATTTTTAAAAATATTTTTCACAAAAGCTCTTCTAGACAGTTAAAGTGATGCTAAATGAGTCTCTTAGCCAAACCTGTAATTCAGCTTTGGAATTTGGTCTTTACTGCCTTTTAATAAATATATTTTTAAAAGGTACAGGACTAAATATATTTTCAATAAAAAGTATGATAGCATACACACAAATAGGTAAGATAAAATACTATGTGTAGCAGCAGAATCCAGGTTTCCTGTGTGAGTGACCTTCAAAGCTGACTACTTACTTGGCTAAAGAAAGTGACTTATTTGTTTTTAAAGCCTCAGTTGTACAACCTCCTTACAGAAAATACTGACCTTACTACAAATAGTCTGCTGTGTGGTTTGCACTAATGTTTGTAATTAATAGTAGATATTTTTGTTCATTGACTTTTATTTTGTGTTTGTAGTTTTTATTGTATTTCCTGCTTCGTGAAAGGAGGAAAGCCAAGCAAAGAGAAGTGGACTCCAATCTATACAGAAGATTTAATTCTGAGCTTTGCAGCTGAGCTTTGTCTTGTAGCCTGCTCTAGGTAAGGTGATCTCGCTACTGGGCAGCAAATCTGTGCAGTTTGAGCCAGTCTAAAGTTCAGACAGGCAGGACAGGGGAGTGAAACCACTTTGTGACTGTCTGTTGTCCAGGCCACTCACAGCTTGCAGAAATGAAGGTGGTGCCAAAAGTAGGCACAGAGGAGAGAGAGATCAAATTCTTCCTCAGCTTTAGCACAGACTTCCTGTGGGTCCCCAGAAGAACAGTGTCATCTCCTTACACCCCACTTCTGCAAGGGAGGGAGTGATTTCGTGCCTCACAAAGGAGCTGTGAAGCTGAACTTTAAGGCATGGGTGGAGCACATGGATGTGAGCATGACTGCAGGCACTCAGCACCTCCCATGGCTTTTGACTTTCCATCCTTCTGGGCTCGGGTCCTGCTGAGCAGTTTGCTCCCCTCTGTCCTAGATCCTTTCAGGAACCCTAAGGTGAGGCTTCTTAGCCCCTGGAGATCATAACAAAGGGAATTTCATTAAAGCATTCCTTACAGCAGGATTATGAAAAGTTGTTTAAAAATCCCCATCAGGTACTGGTAGATCAAACTGCCTACTGACATTTAAAATATATACAGAGCAGTCCCCTTTCACTTGGATTTAAATTAAATAGGAGAATGGCTTTGCTGAATCATTGCTTCCTGGAAACACCAGGTTGTTAACGTGGTTGTGTGTATTAAGAAAAACCATTAATGAGACAAGGCCTGGATGTCAGCTCAGTCATGCAGGCCAAAACTCATTCCCAGCATAGTTCACACAGAGATCACAAGGCAAAGCCTTTTCAACAGTGGCCCAGATTCTCCTTCCATTTAGCATTTACAAAGACTTGCTGGAATTAGAGCAACCAAGTGACAATCTGAATCAGAGTAAATTTTGATCAAGAAACCCAATTAACACTGCAGAGGAATTCAAACTCTTTATCTGGATTTAAACCCTTTCCTCCTTTTCCCCATAAACACAGCTTTGTAGATTGTATGCTCTAAACTGACAGCAACCAAAGTTATGTCCATTCAAAAGACAAGTTACTAATCTGCCCCAGGGTCCTTTTCCTTTATATGGAGAGGGCTACATTTACCTAACTTTAAACTATAACTAAAATAGTTTAAAAAAAAATCACTATACTGAGTTATAACAACAAGCTTCTTCCTGAATTTCCCACTTAAAGAGTAAACCCATGTCAGAAAAGATGTAATGTATATCTACTCACTGTCATTAGCATAATATGTAGATATACTATGATTATATGTCATAGTGTAACTGTAGTACTGGAAGAAAATGGTTAATATTCCTATAAATCTTATAATAATTAACTTTTCCTGAGAGATTTCTGCAAAGCTTTAGCTCAGCATTTGTTTATAGCTAAGTTATAAATACGTTACAAACCTAAAATATAATTGCTGCTGGTTTTTTTTAAACTGAAATGAAAGGGAGATCTGGAATATATATATATATACATATACATATATATATATATATTCATGGAGTCGGTTGTAAATTTCCTTCATGCACTGAAGCACATTAAAGTCTTGGCACAAGGAATGGCAGTTAGTTTATAACTGGAGTGAACGTGTTTACGAAGCCGTCAGCAGCCTGGTAGCCGAGATCACAGCCCCACGTGGATGTGATGTGCAGTATTGACTACTTCTGTCAAAGCATCTGGACTACTTTCATCTTGCAGCCATGTGGTTTAATACCTGAGAGCTGCAGAGATACCTGAGGGATCCCACAACATGGGAAAAAAGAGGTCTGAGTTCCAGCTCTGAAAAGACCTTTAGTGCACAGCTGCACAAGACACTGATCAAATTCAGCGTAAACCTTGAGGGAATGTTTGTCCCAACCCAGCTCTCCTCCTGCTGTGCTTTGTCCCCATCTGCACACACTCCCCATGCCCCAGACTGGAAGTTCAGGGTTGTTTCCAGCTGTGTTGCTACCAGCTTCCAGGAACTGACTCAGGGTTACAGAAAGCAGATGCCTGATAGCAAGGGATTAAGGTTGATCCATTTCACAACACCTGGATTTGTTCCTGCATTTTCCTACGTCTCCAAGTGTTTCCTCGGGCACATCTTGCACCTTCATCCCTTGGTTATTTCACAAAGCAGTTTAGGGCACTTGGCACGTTGTAGGATCAGAGCAAGTGTTTTTAGCAATATTTCACCTGTGCATGGTAGAGTCTTTTCAGGGGAGATGTTCAATAAGTTTGTTTTCTTAGATACCTTTTGTAGGTGGTTTTTCTTCCCCTTCTACAATTAGACTTTATCCCTCTTTTGCAAAAAGACCTTGTTCCTGATGGCTATCGAAGCATTTCAGTTGACAGCTTAGTTAAAAAAAAAAAAGAAAAAAAGAAAAGCAAAATCAACTTGCATAACAGAACCTATAGTCTTTCTTGTCCTGTTTTCATAGACCTGAGAAATATATTAGTGAGTCCCCAGTATTTTGACTAATATTTGCAGGAATAGATGGAGATTTTGTCTCCCTAGCTGAGGATCTCTTAAAGGATGGGTGTTCAGCATTTCTGGAAGCCCAGACCTCTTTCAAGAGGTTTCATGATGCATAAAATTTACAAATAAGTTGAATTTCCTAATCTTCATCTAAGTAATTCCAGAACTGCATTCCCAGTCAAAGCAGAAAGGCCATGATGAGTTTTAAGCCCTACAAACTAAATAGAAGTACTTCATCTTTAAAACACTATTTTTTAGTATTTGGCCTCTATATTTTTTCATCTCTTACCACATTTTACTAGAAACTTTTAAAAATAAAAATATTGGAAGCAGGTAAACTTGAGTTAAACCTTTTAAGCTGCTATGATCTGTAACAATTATATTGTTTAAAAAAAATAAATCTAAAACCAGCTGGTTTAATGTTCTCATATTTATGATGTTCAAAAGCCCAACATACAACATACTTGATGTGAATGCATTCAATACCTTATGTACGACTGGTTTTTGCTTTTTGTCCCAGAATAGGGGAAAGATGTGTAAGATCTCATTAGCAAGTGTACTTTGAGATGTGCTATCAAAATGAAGAACAAATAAATAAAGTGAAATATACTTGTGATTTATTTTATTTTTCCCAGGACCACTAGTTTTGTACTTCTGAGCATTTCCAAATCTGATTTTTGATTGTTTTCAAGGCAGGAGACTGCTGTGTGTCCATGGGCTGTGAGGGTCACCTCCATGTACTTAATTTCTGCCCAATGGTTAATGGTGCCCATATCTGCTGGTGCTGAAGAGTGGACAGACCTGCACTGGTGCTGTTGTTGTTCTTCAAGATAAACAGCAGAACTCACATTCTTCATTCTGATGTAGAAACACATTTTTATGTATGTCTGGGTTAAGTGTATGTTTGAAATGTGGTTTAGCCAGCAAAACTCCAGGTTCCTTTTACATTCCTATTTGCCTTCCTTTCACATTCTTTTTTTCTGACCTGTAACCCATTTTCTGCCCTTGCTCTCTCATTTATTGATCACAGCAGCATTGCTTTAGTAAAGCAATGGCATTAGGAAAGCAGCAGCATTAAGAAATATCCTAAGGTGGGGGGTTTCCCATTTTGTCCAGCAGGCTCCTGTGCCTTTCACAGAGTAAAAAGCTTTTCTCCTGCTGGAAAAAAAAAAAAGTGGTGGGGAAAAAACATTTCAAAGGACTTACAACCCTATATTTTAAGCCAGCAAGAGTCATATTCCTACTTGCATGAAATTGAATGCATTAAAAACATTCTGGGCCACAAACTGTTTTTTAAAAAATAGAACATTTTTTTCCAGTGATGTTTTCTCAGCTGTCATACATCTGACAGTGCAGGGCTGGGCAGGGCAGTGCCTCCCTCAGCCCAGTGGCTGTGACCACATCTGTGCCTGGCTGTCCCTGTGCTCATTTCCCACCTCCCACCCTCAGCTGGAGCAGCAGCCAGTGCCTCATGGGGCTGTGCCTGACCCAGCTGTGCCTGACACAGCTGGATCCCAAAATCCTTCTGCATCCCGCCTGGCTGGGTTCTGCTCCTTGCCTCACACTTTGAAAATTCTTTGGAGCTGGGCCATGTTTGATTTTGTTCATCCTCAGGAGAGACACATGCTTTCTCTTCACTCTTACTTCCAGTTTTTCTGGCACTAATCCATTAGCATTTACTTACTTTATAAATGTCATGTAAATAGCTGGCAGCACATCATTAATATGAGACTAAATTCACCCCAATGTAAATCTAGTATTTTTTCCGAATTATTTTCTACAGCATTTTAAAGGGTTTATCAGCTATTCAGCAGGAACACAGGCAAAACAATACCAAAAAAAAAGAAACCCTCCAATGGCTCCTTTAAAGCTGTTTTTACAGAAACAATATTATAAATAACTTTTTCTGATTTTATAAAATGTAGAGAACACTAAATACTTCCTTTACAACAACTATTCATTCTGAAGCAGAATCTCAAACCTCAACACTTCCATCATAAGACAATCTAGGGGTACAGGAGAGGCAAAATTTGTTAAGGAAGAGAATAAATTTTATATTGAGAGACCTAAATCAGCAATAATAATTGGTATTATAGGAAAATCCCTCTCCCACAAACACGGTGTCAGGACAGTGCAGTACACTCAGGGCCATTGAGGGGTGGGATTCAGGGTGTGGTGAAGGAATAAAGGGAATTACTTTTAACCTAGGAATTACTGTTAACCTAGTAATTTCACGACAATCTAATTCCGGTCTGAGGTTTTTAGTTGAAAGACAATAATTTGAAGTGCAGCCAGCAGAGGGAGCATTTAAAGCAAAGTCTGGTGCAGCAGTTTCAAAAACTACACTGTCAAACAGGAAGTGTTATTGTGGGAATTGCAGTAATACTTGGGGCAGCCTAGCCATGACTCGTGAATTCATGCACAGACAAGGCAGGAAAGTCGTGCCAACGGGGAATAACTCAGAGTTCATGGGAAAAAAGAACCCATAAAACACCCAACCCCAAGCAAGCACCTCATAACCATTCCATCCCAGGGATACCCCATCCCTGGAAGTGTCCAAGGCCAGGCTGGACATGGCTTTGAGAAACCTGATCCAGTGAAGGGTGTCCCTGCCCATGGCAGGGGGTGGAATGAGACGAATTTTAACGTCCCTTCCAACCCAAACATTCTGTGGCTCCTCAGCATGAATCAGTCAGCCCTTGGCAGGCTGTGAGGGTGTTTTCCAGGTGACCTGGCCCTTAGTTCAGACCCTGGACCCGGCTGGGCTGTGTGCAGTGACCCGGGTTTACTGCAGCTGCAGAGCCAGAAGGGTGATGGAGTGCACCCAGGGGAAATCTGCTTCTGTGTGCCCAGGGCGTGGGGCATGCTCATGCACAGTTGTATTTTCAGGGCTATCTCCATTGCCTGCACAGGCATCTGTCTGTGTCAGTGAGGGCTGCACAGAGGCATAAGCAGCATCTCCAAAAACCTACAGAGAGCTGCGAGTGCCCCTGGAAATGGTGCAGGTAATACCTGAAGAAGTGGGGCTATTTCTGCCCTTGTGCTGTGGTATCTCTGCTCTTTTAATGGCACATGAGGCAACTCATTGTAAGAAAAAGGCAATTTTTACAGCCCTTGTACACCCTGCTCCTGTTGCTGGGAGGAGATGACCTTTCCAAGAACCCCACTGGCAAAGCAGCCCTGATGCTCTGCTCTGGGGCCTGTGGGAGCCAGGGTTCCATGGCACAGCCAGCAGCTGGGGTTTGAGTTATTGCAGCTGTCAGATGAGTTACCTTTGGTGTTTCTCACACCCAGCCACGTGCACATGCCCCACACTGCATGAGCAGCCATTGCATCCTTCCACAGGTGTGCTGTGAGTTATGGAGCACTGCAAAGCCAGAACAGCTCAGCACAGCAGCACATTTACTGTGACTGCATCTATTCGTAAGAGGTCTTTTCCTCCCCCAAAAAATCCTATACTGAGGAGCATGCAAAGGCAGGAGTCAGACGTGCCTCCTCATCTCTCTGTGCTGCTGCAGAGGCTCAGCAGGACCTGCACCCAGTGCTGGGGCTCCAAAAACCCCTGCAAAAAAACCCCCCAGACTCCCAATTTCCTTTCGCATTCCTGTTTTTCATCACCAGTTCTCCTGCACAAGTGCAACAGAATTTCCCAGCCTTTCCAAATACCATACCATTGCAAATCCTGGTTTTGGTGGTCTGTGTGGACAGTCAAGGGAGGGAAGATGCCATTTGTTATTTCACAGTCACAGCAATGCCCCAGAGGCACAGTCTAAGCCTGGATTTGAGCACAAAGACCCAACTGCTTAGTTCAGGTCCTGTGTGATCTGCTGAAATACCAGGGAATTAATGAGAGATCAGATATTGCACATTTGTATTTCATGTTCAACCCCAGAGTGGTGGCCTACAGATAGGACATCTGGAATGCTCCAAAGGAGTCTCTTTGGACACAGACACAAATTTAACTGAGTGTTGGCCAACTCCACAGTAGAATTATGAAAAACGAAAGACAGGGGTACAAATGTGAGAAAGTCCCATGGAATTACATGTCTCACCATGACTGACATAGTGAAGCTGGTGAAACAGAAACTTTCAGCCTGAGCCACTGCATATTTTTAAGCATGCTCTCAGAAACTACTTGCTATAAATTATACCTGTGCATATATATATATATATACACAACACACATACATATAAATTGCCATAGTACAAACCTAGGACCACTTAATTATTTATTATATGCTGACTCTAGATTTATAATGGTCCTTTTAATCAGGCTAAAATTATGATATTGGCATGAATTTGGGCTCAGGCCTTTTAGTTTCATAAGTGTCATCATCTTGGCCTTTGGGCTGGTGATCTTCTCACCTGAATTTCCAAGGGAATTCCTGAGTTTAAGCAAGATCTGAACAAGTCCATTCAGCTGTCACCTTGAGGCAGATTCATACATTTACTTCATCAGCCACTCATGCAATCTCTTTGGCCCTTTACTCCAAAATGCAAATCCCAATTCTAACTTACTCTTTAGCATTGCTTTGAAATGCAACTTTAGCTTGAGTAGCCTTTATTTTTATCGTGTCACCTGTCCTGTGCCTGCCTATACCAGTATCTCCTGAGCTGTAAAAAGCCATTTGCTGTTTGCATGTTAATACAGCAGAGCCTACACACTGGGTGCTCTTCCTCCTAAAACTTCCTTAACAGGCTTGTTTGCTAAGCTGCAGTCAATTAAGGGCAGCAGGGTTAACTCTGCACCTCTTTGTCCCAGCTGACAGCACTCACCACACTGTTCTGAAAACATCCCAGCAACTCCCCTTGACCCAGACTCAGTTCCCAAAGTTGGAGCTGGGAGCAAAACCAACTATCTTTCCACTTCCAAATCAATCAGGGCACAGGAATCGTTAAAAGCTAATCTGTGCCAGGACCATAATGAAATTCTGAAGTCATTTATTTTCCAGATGAAAAACAAGTTAAAGCAGATGATTTTCCTGTTAATACTTCATCCTTTCCTGAAGGGCTGTCTCGGGAATCAGGGGATCTTTACGGCGTGGGAAGGAAGGCATCGAGCTTGGGGAGAGGAGAGTTTAAAAAGCAGCCAAGCCAGCAAGGGTTGAAGATCAGCCCTTGGATTCAACTTTGGTGTCTGCAGCGGGCTGGGAGCAGGAGCTGTCCCATGGGCAGAGGACGCCCCAGCAGGGCAGGGGTGGCTTTTGGCTCCAGGTAGGGCTGGGGAATTCCACCCTTCTGTCTCTGCTTCCCTACAGCCTGGACACCAGCCAGCTCTCCAGAAAACTGCTGAGGCAAAACAAAGGAGGAGTTTCCTTGTTAAGGCTTGCAGGAGGAGATTTGAATTTACTCGATTGAGATGATGTGGCAGCCTGAGGAGCCCCTTTGGTGCTCTCCAAGGGAGCAGCCTGAGGCTGGAATTCACCAGCCCAGTGCTCAGCCACAGAGGTTTCACACATTCCATATGATTTCTATCTCCTGTGCAAGACATTGCAGAATGCACCAGTTCACCACAGTGTCAGCAGAGTTTATTCAGGCAAGGATTTTAGGACACAAACACCAGCAGCCAGTGGGCTGGCACTTGCTCTAACTGAGCAGGTTTGCTCTTTTCATCCT